CACACCCCATGTCTCTCATTGTCTGCCTCAATGTAATATACTGCCATTTCGATAATTTCAGTGATGTTGAAATACCGAGTGCCTTATCGGTATGACAAGTTCGTTTCGTCGATTTCAGGCAGGCTCGCAGCATTGGCGCATCTTCAGGCTTTTCAATCAAATGCTTCACTAATTCTACAAAGTCCGTTTGGTTTTCATTTTCCGCTTTCCTAGCCAGGGCATAAGCAAGTGTCTCAAAATCGTTTTCGGCAATGAGATTTTCAGTTCTTCTTCTTTTTTGCAGTGGACTCAAATTGGCAAATTCTTTTTGAGGACTAAATGTAGCGGTTGATGTCGACACAGCCACACTATGAGGAACAGTGCATTCCGTTGATAAACTAGGTCTTGTTACTGTTGAAATACTTGTTGAAGGATCTTCAAAACTCGTCATAATATTTGATTGTTCTTCAGTTATGTCTAGTGAAACAAACTCTGGCCATTTTATTTCTTGGTCCAACCAGTCAGCAAACTTCTTTATAAAATTCCCTTGTGTGTAATTAGCTGACTTCCATTTGCGTTTAAGATTACTCGTATATGTAGCACAAAACGTTTTAAGAGTTGTCTTTTGTTCTTCAGATAATGAAAATCTCACTGAATCGAGTACTTTTTGAAATAACATGTCGGCACTAAAAGATTTTTGCCTCATATATATATATACGTCGAGATTAGACACAAGCCCTTCCATTCTGAGCAACTTAAAATTTGAGCAAAGAGAACGTTACGGTACGAATCAATAATGATAAGTGAAATGAAATACAGGTGTACTCCGTATTTATTATAATCGAAGTCATTGTTGAATAATAATAATAACAACGTTTTATTTATTCACCTACCCACAATAAAAGCAAATAATCAGTAATTATTATAGGCAAACAACGGCAGGTAATGACTGTGGGTAACCCTTTGAATTCCTCAAAACCTGCAACAATAGACTTTGTATTGTTTATATGTAATGATGCTCTCGTTAATGGCGCGCGGCTGTTAAGCGATTGTCAAACAAAAGATTAAATTGTAGGCTGTAAACGACTTCATTGTAATTCTTTACAATATTGTATTCTTGTTTTCTTTTTCTTAAAACTATTTCTTTTATCTATTTATATTAATTCCATATCTTTTGAATAAGGACGCTTTTATTTAAAGTTAAGTTGTATGGTGTCGTTATCTATATCTATATGTATAGTTTAATTAGATAATAATCTGCGCTGTATTAATAACTAAATTCTGGGCAAGAAACATAAACAAACTGTTTATTGAGACACATAACCCCGTAAAGCAAAATTACCCTAATAAGCATTTTGAAAAATTGGTATCTTTTGAACGGGGCCGTCCGGGGTGAAGGCCAAAGGTCACATGGCTTCGTAACAGACCCGGTAATAATCCCTATTAGTTTCAGCTTGACCGTAGAAGACCGAGACAAGTTATGAGCAAAACAAATTCCGTTTTCATACATTTGAAACTCTAAAGCCCATGCTTTATGGTGTTAGATTAAAAGGAAATTCCCCAAACTATTTTATTATTCAATGTACTGATATGTCTAATAAAACCGCATACCTTAAACGGATAATATACATTTTTATTTTTTCAAAAATCCTATGAAAGGGGACCTCTTTTTTTCACCCACTGTGCGGCGGCGCGGGGCGGTCAGCTCAGTCCGCGCCACGATTCACTAGAATAAACGTCCTGAACTGACCGCCTCTGCCCGTCGTGTGCTTTGTGTACGCGGCGCGGGCAGCCGCAGACATCGACGGGCAGACGCGGTCTTTATTGCTTCGCGGACATAATGCCCGCCCCGCCCCGTAGTCTGCTCAACGCCTTAACGTGCCTTCCGAAGCAAGGAGGAACTCACCCATCCAATGACCGACCACTGCGAAAGTTGCTTAACTTCGCTTTATCTTCGGTTTGCGTAAGTACGACCATATCTCTCACTATAGAAATGAACTCAAGTGGCTGTCCATACGTGACCGTAGAAATCTCCGAATTGTGTGCATGCTTTTTACTATTTTATACGATCCACGTGCCCCAGAATACTTGAAATCTAGGTTTCAGTTTCTGGGACCCTCTACACCGCGTGATCTTCGCTCTTGTAGGCACCTTACCCTCAAAACCCATTTTCACCATTCTGGTTTCGTCTCCAAATCTTTCACCATTACGGCTATACGTCTCTGGAATGCTTTGCCATTGAATATTCGCAGTGCTCGTAGTAAGTTAGAGTTTAAAAATCTAGTACGTGCACACTATCTGTCGACCTAATATTTCTGTAATCTTCAGTCATCTGTAACATCATAATTTGTTATTTCTAACTAGTTTATTATATGTATATGTGTATGTTTATTATATATATACATATATATATATATATATATATATATATATATATATATATATATATATATATATATATATCTATTTATATGTGTATTTATGATATTTGATTATTATATAATATTTATTTAACGTTTATTATAGTTATATAATATTTATTATAACTTTAGTAGCTCGCACTCTATCGCCATAACATTCGTCTCCCACACCCTTACTGGTTGACTGGTAGAGAATGCCTATGGCATTAAGTCCGCCATTTACTGTATTTTGGTAAAGAAGAATAAAATAAATAAATAAATAACTTCAACGATCGCAGCCGAACGCGCTAACAACCTGCGACATTGAGATCCTCTAGTAAAGATTACTTCTCGGTTAAGATTCTGCATCCGATTACGTCCGTGGCCGAGTGGTATGAACGCTGCGCTTTAAAGTGTCGCCAACTCGAGAGGTTCCGGGTTCGAATCTCGGTGGTGGCAGATACTTGTGTGATTTATATGAGCCTTTGTATTCGTCATGATGTTTAATAAGTATTTTTATTTATACGTATCAGTATATGTATTCTATCCGTTACCCTAGTATCCAATAAGACAAGCCTACAGTGTTTTTTTTTTGATCTAGGCTAATTGGTGTGTGTTGGAGATATTTATTTATTTATCATGCACATTGAAAGTAGAATAAATTCACTGGGCAATTCCAATCCCAACTGAGTCAAAAGTACTACAAGTGTAAAGCTTCCTGATTTTGTCCCATAGGTCATTCATTGGCTGGCGACGACAAGAGGGTCGATCCTTTAAGGCGCAATAGGGATGATGACTATTTTTTTTCTTCGTTTATCAGGTAGATTATAAAAAAGTATTGGACACGTATTTTTTCTTTTTTCACATAATATAAACATTGCCCAAATATATTAATTTGAAAAGTCGCATGAAGTCACGTTTTGGTACAATTTTCACTTAAATGTGACGTCACGAGCCCCTACTCCCAAACTTTGACGCGCTACAACTTTGTCATTTTTTGGTTGATTGCCCAAAGAAAAAATACGTGTCCATTATTTTTTGATCATCTAACTGAACGACTAAACAGAATTTCGTTTACTGTACCCCGTCATCACCCCTATTACATTTGATCGTTTGCAAATATTCGTGTGCACGTAAGACATTACTCCAGGGCACCAATATTTATACTGGAATACGAGCTGGATAACAGGTGTCGGGTAAACAAAAGAAAATCTACCCGAATATCTTCCGTATTGGACTCCCTTTATTTTAACTCAGTCAGTGTTCGGTGATTCAATGAGGGCTATCGCGTATGAATCCGCCGCTAGAGGCGCTAGTGTAGCGTGAGGTCTCCGAAATGTCAAATGTTATTGCTTGTTGGTTGACTACGCGGGTTTATTTCTTATTAAAATAATGTTGTGAATAATTGGTTGCAATTCGGCTTAATTATGGCAAATATGAGTTATGTGGCAATGAATGTCAGTTATTAAAAATTTGAGCTTAGAAAAATGATTATGTTCCCATTTTTCCGAATAAAACGGAACTGCGCGTCACTGTGGCATGGCCTATTATGTTTAGGATATGGTTCTTTTGTGTTAAAATACGATCTAAATGTAGCCTTTGATTTCATGTGCGTATTAATAAACTTTAAAAGTTACAATTTAGGACCTCACTCAACAGTGGCGCCATCTGGTGAGGCAGAAAACGGTAGCCCTCATTGGCACTCGTATTCGGGCTAGCCACCAAGTTAATTGCGGTACACTGTAAGTCAGCGGCACATTAAAAACTAAATAGTAATAATTTTTATTGAAGTGAAACTTCTTTATCGGCGTTGGAAAAAAAAATACCGTCATATTTTTTCGGACGTTACGCGTCACGTTTTTTGGTTACGCGCCATCTTTTTTTTAAAAGAGCACTATTTACCTCATCCGAACAATTGCTTCTTCTGTCAACTTTAAAAAAAAAAAGTATCGACAGCAAATATTCGTGTTTCACACAAGGTAAGGTATGAGATTAGCTTAAGAAGATGCTAATATACCGCGGGCGCTTACGGACTGCGCCTTTGGTATTAAGCTTGATTTAAGTTTTCGTTACATATGTGAGGTAAGGTAAGGTAAGGTGTAGTTATACCCCTTTAGTGGGTGAGTTTTTGAAAAATCTTAGCGCACGCCTATATATATATTTCTGGAAAGTTGCATGTAGATCATTTTTCGAAAAAAATAAGGCCATAAAGAAGTTTCACTTCTTACCTGTGTACACTAGTACACGCACACATTTTTATTATTTTTAAGCATGTAACTGCTTGATGTTTAAATCTAAAGAAAATATAACTAGAAAAATTTCCACGCGGACCAGGCAGCAGACGGGACTCGAACCCGCACCCTTCGCAATACGGGCGAATGCACTGACCAATTATGCTACCGCGACCCTCACGGACCGCGTCGAAATTTTTCTAGCCTTTCTAAAGCTGCAAGGCAGCGCCATCTCTTCGCATTATAGGTAACCCACAATGTCAAATGAATACTTTTACAAGTATTAAACATTTGAAAGAAGAAATAGCAATTATAGTTATAATTTTTATTATTTTAAAGCAAGTAACTGCTTGATGTTTAAATCTAAAGAAAATATAACTAGAAAAAATTCCACGCGGATCAGGCAGCACACGGGACTCGAACCCACACCCTTCGCAAACTAAATAGTATTCCATCCCCAATGCAAATGATAAGACATTTAACCATCTCATAATTTTATTCAGTAAAGGAATATTTTTTGTTAGAAAACATGTCCTTATATTTAAAGCAGTAGAGTACAAAACTTGAAGCTTTTGGCATTCGCAGTCCGTTTGAAGTAGGCAGTAAGTATGTGAAGTTATGGAAATAACCTATTATTATTCAATAAACTATGTCACTGAAAAGTTTATTTTAACGTCTTCTTAGTATTACCATCCTTTCATTATTATCTTCTATTGTTTTGTGGGACCAGTACCCTTAGCGCGAACCAAAATCGAATTCGTAACGTTTGCGAGTCCGAAATGTCATTGTCAAATGTGTACTGATTTTTAGTTCACGTTACGTACTTTGTGCCGCTACTGTTCAAGTTTCCGTTCAAAATTTGACAATGGCATTTCGTACTAGCAAACGTTACGAGTTCGATATTGGTTCGTGCTAAGGGTACTGTTCATATTATAATATAAAACAAGCTTTCCAATGATATATGTTTCGTCGCTTTCGGAAACCGACTTTAACTTCTGTATTTATATCCTTTGACGGTGACGATACGTTTACAGAATTGTCAAAGTTTGTGCTTGGGCCTGAGGTTGGAATAGGGGAAATACTGTACCCCTAGTACGAATTTGCGAGTGCGAAATGTCAATGTCAAATTTTGTATAGAAACTTGAACATCAGCGGCACAAAGTACGTAACGAGAACTAAAAATAAGTACACATTTTACAATGACATTTCGGACTCGCAAACGTTACGAATTCGATATTAGTTCGTGCTAAGGGTACTGGTGTGATTCCCATATAAAAACCCCTTTTACAACTGTGTTACTGTGACAGAAAAACAGTTCTCCTGATAACACAGTATTAAGACAAAAAATATCAAAATTGAAAAGGAATATGTATTAACAATGAAAATTACACAATTTTAATTAGTTTACAAAAACAAGAAGACTTTGCAAATATGTAAATTGTATTTTGTTTTTCGTTACCAATAAATAAGGTTTGAAAGGAAGATTTTATAAGAGTATTGTTCTAATATAAATTTACTGTAGCAGTTCTTATTGGCAGTATGTGAACAATGGAAGAATTATTTTGTCTGATTGCTTTAAAATCAAATGTATATCATTTTAAAAGATACTTTTCTGTTGCTGTAGCATATTTTACTCTACTTCCAAATTATCATCAAATTATTATGTTAAGAATATATTACATATTTTCTTATATACAACACCATTATGGACACAATCAACATATTCTTAAATTGACAGGTTTTTTTAATGGTAAGCGGCCACCATAGCCTAGATACCCTAGATACACCAACACGAACAATATCGTGCCCGAAACCTGTCCAAAAGGTACATTGAACGATGCACGGAGCTCCGTAAGATGATCGCTTAGTCAAAATTAATATAAGGCATTATTTAAATATTGAAAGTAACCTTTAATAATACTGTATAAGGTCTTAAATAAAACGCATGCGTCAAGGACTTCTAACAGTTCGAAATGCAAGCTCGTAAAATTTTACGACTTATTGCTATATGTGGAAGAATTTAGACCTTAGTTCTTTGACTCTACGCGCAATTCTGAACGCGCTGTTAGCAATATAGCAGGCACGGACCGCTAGGAAAAGAGACTGCTATATGGCGACCTATAACCGACCATGCATTTGAATATCACAAATATTTTATATTAAATCAGTTTATAGTAAGTATTAGATCAAAATTTACTTCAAATGCGTTAAATTAACAAACATTGACTAGTTACCTGTCGAAAAAACGACACTTTTCGTACTCTAAGTATTATTATCGCATTTTTTCGCGGAGCTCTGTGGCATCTTGGCTTTGTAACGATCCGCGCGTGACTGTGAACCAAGAAGTGCTTGAATTGAGTTCAAGCACTTTTTGATTGGGACACATTTTGAGCGCTCGTGGTGTAGCTAGGGTATTTAATAATCGTTGCTTGCGATACCAAAAATATCACTCACGCCGTTGTCTACTCTGACCCAATCCCCTACCACGTGGGGCCTCGGAATCTTAGACACCGACAGAAACAAAACACCACCGAAAGGTAGCATTATTTTACTGTGATTTTCTGTAAGGTGGAGATTAATTCCCCAAACGGGCGGTCTAATTCGAGCGGAATATCCGCTGATTCTCATATAATATATGAGATATGGCATTAACTGCGCGTTTTAAAAGCAGTACCCCTAGCACGAAAGATTATCGAATTCGAATAGTTTGCAAACCGAAATGTCAATATTTGTTTCTTAGGTTTTCACGCACATCACTCATTAAATAAAACTAGTTTTAACGGGTTAATGCACGAAACTTTATTTATTTATTGGCGTTTCGCAGCCTTTACAGGTAGCCTTTCGAAGATAGCTCGTCATAATTAAATAAAAAATCAGTATTCTGACGATGCAGACCTGAAAAGGTTGCGAAACGTCAATAAATAAATAAAGTTTCGTGCATTAACCCGTTAAAACTAGTTTTACGGAATGTCAATGTCAAATTTTGTATGGAAACTTGAACAGCAGCACCACAAAGTACGTAACGAGAACTAAAAATCAGTACACATTTGAGATTTCGGACTCGCAAACGATACGAATTCGATATTGGTTCGGGCTAGGGGTACTGATCTAAACTTATCGTAGAGTTAGTACGTAGTACGCTGCGTTTTCGGCTAGATGGCGCTTATCTTGGACTCAAACCTTATCGCAATGAATCCTGAATATTTTTATTTAAACAATAGTGTTATAAGAATTTCTGAAAGTCACAAATCTACGGAGACCTTGTACCGAAAGGAACCGGCAAGAAACAGCAAGGGCTATTTTTTTACATATTTTCAGATCACAAGTCAGCAAAACCATTATTCCATCACAAATGTACTGCTTAAAATTTATTTTACGAAGAGATCGAAGTTGAATTTTTATAAATATTTATTGTCGGAATATTTTTTTTATTGTTCAGCATTATTAATTACATTGCTATCGTCATTATTATTTCATTCAGAAGTTCAGTATTTTATATTACAAAAGGTGCTCGTATTTTTACTAACAATAAGTTTCATCTTTATTTACATAGTAGGGTGCTTGTGTGTGTCAATGGAACTATGTCATTTGAGTAAACATATTATTTAAGAAATTACTAACTTTTTTTTTTATAGATAGGTCCGACAAATGACTCCACCCCACCTGATGTTAGGTGAAGGTGAAGTGCAGACGCGCAGATAGCTGATACAGCAGTTCTACCTGCCACACCAGCCATCCTCACCCTGCCGGCCTGCATGTTGCTTCTTCACGCCTCTTTTAAAGGAACCCAGGTTGTAAGAGGGAGGGAACACGTGAGTGTATAGGTGTGTTACAAGCTTTGAACAAAATGGTTGCATAATGTTTTCCTCCGTGTTTGACAATGAAATATGCCATGACTAACCTACACATTAAAATTAAATGTTCTTAAATCTATTAGCTGCTGTTTCTTTTTTTGCTTTAAATAGAAATATGCATCTTATTATAATTACCTTTTCATTTTATTTTATAATTTTGCTTTTACACTCTTCCCCCCTTTTTGTTCTTATATACTTACTTCATTTTCCATCATGGGTTGTCTGGAAGAGATTGCTATTAAGCAATAAGGCCGCGCATTGTGTAATGTCTATCTATCAGTGTTATTTTATTTTTATGTCCTTTGTGGTGTTATACTATAAAGAATACTATTATTATAATAGGGATGATGACTAATTAGATTATCAAAAAGTATTGGTCACGTATTTTTTCTTTTTTCACATAATATAAACATTGCAGAGATATTGATTTGAAAAATCGTATGACGTCATGTTTTGGTACAATTTTCACTTAAAAGTGACGTCACGAGCCCCTAATCCCAAACTTTGACGCGCTATAAATTTGTCATTTTTTGGTTGATTGCCCAAAAAAAAATCGTGTCCATTATTTTTTGATCATCTAACTGACGGACTAAATAGAATTTCGTTTACTGTACCCCATGATCACCCCTTTTAGCTGCCTTTAAAAAAAATATAAAGCATTATTTATTAATAAAACGGAGGAACGGAGGAGCGGAGTGGTCTTATTTTTTAACGATATTCGCAATATCTCAGAATTAAAACAATAATTGTTAATCTGCATTTTTTTTTCAATATATCAAACAGGGATTGTGTAATGAGTAAAAATCATATGTTTAGACCCCAGGCGGCTAATCGCCTAAAAGGATTGTTATTGCTATCGCCATCGCTTACAATTTCATTTTGTTATTTTCGACTGCCTAAGGTTTTCGAATGCCTCGCTCCATTTTTTTCTTCTGCATTGCAGGAGGTTACGAAACTCCTAAGCGATAGCGATAGCCACAGCAAACCCGTTAGGCGATAGGTCTCTAGTTCTGTTATTCCATCCATTAAGAAGGCTCGTGTCTCAGCACTATGGTCACACTAATATTATAAAGGAGAAAGTTTGTGAGCGTGTATGTTTGTTACTTATTCACGTCTAAACGGCTGGAGCGATTTTAATAAAAATTGGTATGAAGTTAGCTGACATCCTGGATTAACACATAGGAAAATATCCCTAATAAAGCGCGGGTAACACCGCGGGGCACAGCTAGTAAATTATTAAAAAAAAACATAGTTATATGCATCTAAATAACATAGTACCACTGACACATCACATATCATATCATAAGGTACAATATCTAACTCTATGTCACTAAACACTTGAATACTGCTTACAAAAATATATATCGTTAATTAATAAATGCACATTTTCTGTATTTTTTTTTATTCTCACGTTATTTTTTAATTCCGCTACAGTATGGCAACACAGATACGTGAAATAACCGCTTTATACATACTGTTACAGGGTGTATTCAGAAATATAAACCAGTACGCTGTCCAGCGGTAATGACGTCATGATTTCGACGTCATATTGCACTGGTGTAGTAGTAGTGTTGTCAATATGGCGTCGAAATCATGACGTCATTACCACTGGCCAGCGCACTGGTGTTTGATTCGGAATACACCCACAGAGTTTAAAGTCTTTAATCTTTAATATTTCACTAATAGCATTGAAATTAGAAATGTATGGCTTCTGGTGGATGTTCTGAAATTAGTACGTGACTAAATTTATACGAGTTTAATGTTTATATATTTGAACGAGCTTCAGCTAGTTATCGGTGACGACAAATCATTAAAAGGCGGTTTATACAGGATGTCACAAAAATACAAATAAAGCTTGAAGGGCGTTGAAGTATATCATGTAAGGAGTGTTCTCTAATTTTCTTAAAATATTTGTATGAAGTTTTAACATTTTATAAAAAACAGTTATTTTTAATGATTTATAAAAATATCGATCATTTTAAGACATGTCACTAGTACGAGGATCATTAAATTTTTAATTTATAATTTAAATTTTTTATACAAAAGTTAAAACTTCAAGCAAATATTTCAAGAAAATTAGAGAAGACTCCTTATATGATGTACTTCAACGCCCTTCAAGCTTTATTAGTATTTTTGTAACACCCTGTATATCGCATTTTTTTTATATTCAAAGGGTGGCAAATAAGCGTATGGCTTAACGGTAAGCGGCCACCACAGCCTGTAGACGCTTGTTATACAAAAAATATCACTTCTCACTATCACGACATTAACTTCATATCAATTTAGTTACGTGAATTTTAAGTTTAGAGGATCATGCCAGAATATGCAATAATCTATATATTGCAAATTGTTCAACTAGCCACTTTGATAAATTAAACGTGGAAGCTTCAAATAAACATATCGCACGTCACAAACAATAGGGTATTAAGTAGGCAAAACCATTTTTTTTATTTGCGTTTCGAAAACTACATTATCTCTTATCTATTAGACAAGTCCGTCCGTCCGTCTGTGGTGCTGTTTCAGCTGCCAAACCGTAAGAGATAGATAAAGAGAATGTTTAAGTTATAAGTTAAGAATAGTCTGATAAGACTACAAACCGGATTTGAATAACGTAGCACTTCCGGTTTTCGAGAAATCACGAATTTCAAACGAAACCACATAAAATCTCCGAAGTTCTCAACAGGTTTTGGTGAACATTTGGTTCACTGGTTTGCTAGTTTTCTCTATAAACTGGTAAGATAATTGTATTTTAATTCGAAATAGTTTTTGAATTATAGCAGCACATGTCGTCAATTTCTAGGCAAAATTTATGATTGTGAGTATTCTAAACAGTATTAAGTTAAGTTAATACCCTATTATTGCCCGTTCGGATTAATACAAGTTTCAAGTTTTATTTAAAATAATACCCTCCGGCCTGTTTAATTTTATTTAATATGTTATTTTCAGCGAAATTATTTTAAAATGATACGTTTTAATTTTAACATGAGGGTATTCTCTTTACCCAGTCATATAAAAGTACTTTTAAAATAAAAACTACTATTGATACACTAACTAAACTTACTCAACGCAAAGAAGGATAATGTACGCTTAAATCAAGGTATCATTTTAAACATTTGAACAAGTAGTTCCGCTACAATGATTTTTTAAACTTCAAAACGCGATATCTCAAAACACTGTTTTTGAAGATTCCCTTTTCAATCCGTGCATTCCACTGACCATTATGCTACCACGGCCCTATTGGCCGCGTCGAAATTTTCCTAGCCTTAAGCTGCAAGGCAGCGCCATCTCTTCGCATTGTAGGCAACCCACAATGTCAAATGAATACTTTTTCAAGTATTAAACATTTGAAAGAAGAAATAGCAATTATAGTTATGTTTTTATTTATTTTTAAGCATTTAACTGCTAGATGTTTAAATCTAAAGACCGCCCGTCCCGTCCGCTGCCTGGTCCGTGTGGATTTTTTCTAGTAAACTTTTCTTTAGATTTAAACATCTAGCAGTTAAATGCTTTAAAATAAATAAAAACATAACTATAATACCCTTTTGTTTGTGACATGTGATATATTCCGCATATTTTATCCTATCAATTATATTCTTTTCCCATTACAGAATGTAGCACAAAGGAAACTAAACTTTGAACGGCAAAAGCTAAAATCATTTTTCTATACACATTTAATTTTCAACCATCAGTCGTAATTTAACCGTACAATCGGGAACATAATTATTAAAGACTAGCAACCCAGTGAACCAAATGTTCACAAAAAAAAATGTATTTAATTAATTGAGAACTTCGGAGATTTTGTGTGGTTTCGTTTGAAATAGAAATCACGTGATTTCTCGAAAACCTGAAGTGCTACGTTACTCACATCCGGTTTGTAGTCTTGTCAGACTATTCTTAACTTATAACTTGAACATTCTCTATATCTATCTCTTACGGTTTGGCCGCTGAAACAGCACCACGGACGGACGGACGGACTTGTCTATTAGATAAGAGATTATTAGACAATACCTTAATACCTTACATTGTCAATTGAAAAATTAACATTGTATAGGCTAAAAGCACTGCTTTGTTTGCTTTAAAAAACCAAGATATTTATTTCAAACAAATGTATTTCACAGTATGTGCAGTCGATTTGTATACATTTTTCAGTTGCTGTGAGAACATGTGTAAGCTAAAGTTAAATTATAAAAAAATAACAAAAAAAAAACAATTACGCGCGCATCTGTACAAACTTAAAAACAAACTTGTGGCCGCTCTCAGAGATGTCAACTAGCTTTTAAGTTTGATTAAAGAGGCTGTCACTTTCTATTCAACTAATGCAATATAAAAATTAATCTTATAAAACCCTCGCAAGCCAAAGTTGGAAAACCACAGAAATCACACTAATATAGCGTAGGCTAATTTTATTTTTATTTTTGTCGTTAAATTTGTTATATCTCATAATTATATATATTCGTTTTCTATTTGTTTCTTAGGTTTTCACGCACATCACTCATTAAATAAAACTAGTTTAAACGGGATAATGCACGAAACTTTATTTATTTATTGACGTTTTTAAAACAAAAGTTTTATTCTGACGACGAAGCCTGGAAAGGCTACGAAACGTCAATAAATAAATAAAGTTTCGTGCATTATCCCGTTTAAACTAGTTTTATTCGTTTTCTATTGTCTATAGTTTCAAAGCCACTAATAGTTCGTAAACTTTATTATTTACATGTGGTTTCAGTTTGTGTTTCTGTTTGTTTATTTAATTAAAATTCGGTCCATTCGTACTGTCTCTTAAACATGATCTACCTTCAATAGAATTTTGCATTTTGTATGTATCACTATAATATTTAAAAATAAGATTTAATGTAACTGTCTCTGGTGGTCCTAATAAATAAATATTATTAAGGCGCAAGTTTGTGTGTGTGTACTTTTATTACTTCTTCGAGTCTAAACGGCTGGAGCGATTTTAATAAATTTTGTAATGGAGTTAGCTGACACCCTGGATTAACGCACAGGCTACGTTTTACTGCGTAAAAATATCCCTAATAAACCACGGGTAACACCGCGGGGCACAGTTAGTACTAGATGAATGCATTCTAACTTGTATTTCGACCTGTATTTGACTGAAATAAAATGAAAAGTCATTTATTCAGTCTAGGCTGTTAGAAGCACTTGTGAAGGTCAAGAAGCTACGCCATCGGTTCGCAAATCTACGGCGGGAGACCTTGTACTGAGAAGAACAGGCAAGAAACTCAGCAAGGGCTGATTTTTTCTCCCTGTATTGATATATACAGACTTGATATTGACCTGTAATGAAAGTGCGATAAGGTCGAATATAGAAAATAATTTTCAGCACAATGGATTGTTTTGAGACTTTCAGATTGGGAAATGCTAAATGTGTCTTCACTATAAGACAACACGGGACTTAATCACACTTATATTATAAAGGCGCAAGTTTGTGAGTGTGTATGTTTGTTAATTCTTCACGTCTGAACAGCTGGAGCGATTTTAATAAAATTTGTAATGGAGTTAGCTGACACCCTGGATTACCGCACAGGCTACGTTTTAGTGCGTAAAAATATCGCTAATAAACCACGGGAAACACCGCGGGGCACAGTTAGCACTAGATGAATACATCAAACTTTTGGACTTATGGGCTTGTATTTCGACCTGTATTTGACTTTATACTGACCTGTAATGACAGTGCGATAAGGTCGAATATAGAAAATAATTTTCAGCACAATCGACTGATTTGAGACTTTCAGATTGGATAATGCTAAATGTGCCTTCACTATAATGCAGGCTATACACGTTAGGTTTTGCATGATGGTTTTAACCGTGCATTTATAACCGACATGCATAACCGAGTTACATGCGCCGAAAACTGTACAGTTTTATCACATACACGTAAGGGCTTGCCTGTCGGTTATGCATCTTCGGCTAAAACTATCATGCAAAACCTAATGTGTATGGCCTTCATAAGACAACACGGTACTTAATCACACTAATGTTATATAGACGCAAGTCAAGTCTAAACGGCTGGAGAGATTTCAATAAAATTTGGTATGGAGTTAGCTGACACCCTGGTTTAACACATAGGCCACGTTTTACTGCAAGAGAATATCCCTAATAAACCGCGGGGCACTGCTTGTAAGACATAAAAACTAATTCACATCTCAGAGAGCCACCTTTAGAGAGACTCATTAAATAAAAATAATAATAAGAAATAATACTAGACGTTTCCGTGTGATGGTTATCATTAAAAACAATTAGGGTATCGATAATTATCAAATAGTCACAGTTACAAGGTTATAATTAAAAATAAAAATAATAATAAATAAGTCAACACGATAACAAATCACTTACATTATACCATGTACAGACATAATATACACAAGTGTTATGCCTGCACTCCACTTGTCTATTCGTATTTGCTATTTGTAAACTTGACAACATTCTGTCCGTATCATGCTCTATAAGGAATGAAGGGTGTATTCCGAAAAAAACATCAGTATACTGGTCAGTGGTAATGACGTCACGAATCAGACGCCATATTGTACTGGTATGCGACCATATTTTTACCGGGAAAACGAATATGACGTATGACCTAGCGTGCGTGAGATGCATTCGAATTTTATTTCTTTTTTTATTTAAAGAACAATAATGGCATCCGAACAAAAAGAATTCCTTTTAATTGATGAGGTGAATAAAAAAATCTTCTTTATTCGCACTATGTTTAATATTTCATCGATTGATGACGTCAGTGCACTGGTCATTATATTTCGGAACAATAGGGATGATGACTAATTTTTTTTTTCTTCGTTTATCAGGTAGATTATCAAAAAGTATTGGACACGTATTTTTTCTTTTTTCACATAATATAAACATTGCAGAGATATATTGATTTGAAAAGTCGCATGACGTCACGTTTGAGTACACTTATAAGTGAAAATTCACTCAAAAGTGACGTCACGAGCCCCTACTCCCAGACTTTGACGCGCTATAACTTTGTCATTTTTTGGTTGATTGCCCAAAGAAAAAATACGTGTCCATTATTTTTTGATTATTTAACTGACGGACTAAATAGAATTTCGTTTACTGTACCCCGTCATCACCCCTATTCACCAGTATAGCGTCGATTCATGACGTCATTAGTACTGACCAGTATACAGTACCCTTAGTACGAGTTTTACAATTACGAAAACTATGATAGTTTTCGTGAGCTCGCACTCGTACTAAGGGTACTGATTTTATTGTTTTCGTTTCAATACAAATAAACAGTGTTTATATTCTATCATTAACTCATTTGCATCTTCATAAATTTCAAGTATATTTGATTACTTTTCACCAAAATGGAAATGATGGAAACATAATTTACAATTCGAAAACTATGATAGTTTTCGTGAGCTCAAACATACACCCGAAAAGGACACCCTGATGTCAATTATACGAATAGCAAACGCGAATAGGCAAGTAAAATGCGGGTATTTGACAAAAAAAACAATGTGAGATTCCACTCTTTCATACTGTACAGTCACTATCACTCGAGTTAACTACTTACAATTATATTTTATATATATAATAATATTATAATAACAATTTTACGAAAGGCGCCGCGCGAGCATATTGGGCATATATAACATGTATACATTTAGTACCTAAGCTAAAAGTACCCTTTATAAGAAAAAGATTATATTTTTAATTAATTAACAAATAATTTCGCACCAAAAAAGCACTTAACTTTTACAATTTAATTTTATTCATTTATAATAAAGTTATATTAATACGGATCAGACTGTTTTAGAATTCATTAATTTTGTATTCCCCTATGGTTCAAGTAAATAGGGTTTTTTGCTTTCAAAAACATGTCTAAATCGGTAAGCAGACAAACAAAAATACTGTATGAATTATATAGATTTTTATAATGCTCAAAAAAGTTTTTACATTATTTCGAATGCAATGCTTGCTTGAAAATTTGAAGCTTATTTTCAAATGCGATAAGATTTAATTTCCTTTACATAAGAATGAAATTTTGGCTATAACAAATTTTTTATCATATCGATAAACTTTATTGCTTGGCAATAAGTGTTATTTGCGTCTGACGTTCAATGTGTATAATACAAAAAATTAAGCCATGCCTTACAGAGTTAGTTATGCCGCGCGGCGCCGCTTGCGTTTCGTCAACCGTTCGTCTGGGACTTTTGTTCGAAGAGAGCTGCCATATCTTTGATGTGGTACGAAGGCGACATTTTTTCTTTCCTGTTGAGGAAAATAGAGATTGTTTATGAAGGTATACCGAAGTGTTAGTGATAACTCTACCCTTTCCAGTCTTTTTTATGCTAAGTTCATCTAAAGTTTTGACCATAGTATGACACGGTTTATATTTATATTATTTTTATTTATACAAGTCACAACAAATTGAGCGGTGTTAAGCAAAAAGCGACCAAAGGGCATTTTCGGGATCAAGGAGATTCAAATTTAATCATAGAACAAATTTTCGCTAACTCCAAAAATGTTAACTGGTCGCTTCCTGCTGAACAAGACACAATTATCCCACCCCTGTTAATTCATAAAGTAACAGATATAGCTGATGCTGTAACAAAAATAATTAGGTTTTGTTATTTTATCTTCTGGTAACAGCAATCTGTGTCAAAACACAATGCCGTTGAGATTATAACATTAATAAATAATTTAGGAGACGAGATGATTTATTTATTATATTTATCAGGTTAAAAACGATCAAAAATATTACAAAAAAATAAAAGGTTATTGACGTCACATTGTGTTAAAATGATACATAGAAAACGCAAACACACACATGTAGATGAAAATTAATGTGAAACCTCAATGAAAAGTTTGAAGAGAAATATCATACACAAACCTATTCAGTAAAAAAAAGTATTGAAATATTTAAAGTACTAAACTAAATTGAAATTAATATAAAGCATCATTAAACTACTTTGCGTTCCTTCTATAAAGTTCCATATACATGATCTTTAACTACGTTTAATAATAATATGCTATGCTATTATCTGGCAACTAGAAAAAATACTGTTATTTTTTCAGTATAGGATGTTATGCCTAGATTTTAGATAAGAGCTGTCTTATGTCCAGACAATATATATAACAGTCAGTTGAAATATTTTCATGTAAACTGCTTAATTGTTGAGCGTTTTACAATGAGGAAACGCGAAAGCACATAAAATTAAAGAAAAGTTTACTAGAAAAAAATCCACGAGGACCAGGCAGCGGACGGGACTCGAACCCGCATCCTTCGCTATCCGGGCGAATGCACTGACCATTATGCTACCACGGCCTGTTAGCCGCGTCGAAATTTTCCTAGCCTTAAGCTGCAAGGCGGCGCCATCTCTTCGCATTGTAGGTAACCCACAATGTCAAATGAATACTTTTTCAAGTATTAAACATTTGAAAGACGAAATAGCAATTATAGTTATGATTTTATTAGCGAAGAGATGGCGCTGCCTTGCAGCTTAAGGCTAGGAAAATTTCAACGCGGCTAATAGGGCCGTGGTAGCATAATGGTCAGTGCATTCGCCCGGATAGCGAAGGATGCGGGTTCGAGTCCCGTCCGCTGCCTGGTCCGCGTGGATTATTTTCTAGTAAACTTTTTTTTAGATTTAAACATCTAGCAGTTAAATGCTTAAAAAATAAATAAAATCATAGTTATAAATATATTGTTTTAAACTTTCATAGTCACTACCATTATAGCTATTACCGGGGCTGTTACCATGTACCTTGTTTTTTATGAATCACCTGTATTTCGACAGTGTCGCAAGCGCCATGATGACGTAGTAACTCGGTTCTCTGTCGTCAGTTACTCCGTGATCATGGCGCTTGCAACAGTGCCGAAATATCGGAGACTCATAAAAAAACAAGGTACATGGTAACAATCCCGTTAATAGTTATAATAAGCTTTATTCCTACTGAAATTAAGACCATTATCCCATACATATACTCAAAATAAATACAAAGAAAGGTTTAAAAAACTAAAGAACTTACCTATCGAATTCTTTGCGTCCAGCGCCATTGCTACTCTCGCCTTCTCTTCTCAACTCCACTTTTTTCTCAGGACTAGAAGGGGACGGTATGGTGTCCAAATTGTTCACACTTTTAGCTAGCGAAAACCTCATTCTCTGCCCTAAGTCCACAGTATTCCTTCTCTCGAATTTCGGCAACTCCTCTTTTAGTCTCTCGCAAGTCTCAATTTTGTCTTGCTCCTTCTTAATCTTTATCCTAGTCAGCTGTTCTGGATTACTTCTGAACGATTGCGAACTGTACTTCTCTCGCAGGAAATTCCGCCTCTCCTCTTTATACTTCTCTATTCGTTCTCTACTCAGCTTCTTTTCAGAGTCGAAATTCAGCAAGGCTTTTAAATCAGTAGGCCTCTTCTCAAACCTCTGCACCAAGGAAATTTTATTTTCTGTCGTAGGAGTGACGCTCTCGGTTTTGCCCTCTTCTATATTCAAATTCAGATCTGGCAACACCTTGCTCTGCTTGTCTTTGACTTCTAAGCTTTTTCTTCTGTCCACGTAGGTTTTGTCGTCGCCGAACTCTTTGGTGAATGCGTTCTCATCCAACGACCGCGCGTTGCAAGAGTGCTTTGATAGTTTATATGTTTTAGGGGATACTGGGGGAGGTAGTTTTATGGTTAAATCTTTTTTTCTCACTTCTTTATTGATTTTTTTGTCTTCCTCTTTTCTCTCTAAACTAGGATACTTAATTTCAGCTTTGAATTTCTCGAAAGTAAAAGGACCCTTTTGTTCCGTTGGACTTTCGAATCTATTAGCTAACTCTCTAACGTTCAAACTGGAAACTTTGATTATATTCCCGTTTTCCTTTTCGAGATTAGGTTCTTTGTTATCTACATTTATAGACAGATCTTTATCACAGATTTTCAGCGTTTCAACGTTGATATTTTCATATTCTTTGTGTTCGAAATCAATGTTTTCATATGTCGTCTCCTTAAAAAATGTATTTGGCGTCTCTTTTTCGGGCGTTTCCAATATCATCGCGTTGACTTCTTCTATGCTCTTCTTAAAAAACTTTACTTGGCTATATACGTCTACTTGGTCTGTTGGTGTTTCTAGGATTATTAAATCTTTAAAGTCTTCAGGTTGGCAAGCCTGTTGTGTCGGTAACGAAGCATCCGTTTCCGGCACACTGGCCTCTTCTACTATAGAAAGGTTTTTCTCCAAATCTATGTCTTCGTACACGGAATCTCTATCATTGGTGGGGGTGTCTACATTATCTATGGGTTCATACTCGGGGGTTTTAGTCTTGGTGGGCGATCGGAATGTTATACTAATGGTAGATTTTAAGGGGCTTTTCAACGGGCTACCCGGCGAACTTTTGGATGTGGAGGAAGATTGCAAATTAATATAATTTGGCCTATTAAAGTTGTACGTTTCGTAATCATCACTTTGTTTGGTGAAACTCGCGTTGGAGTAGCTCGACGAGCTCTCGTGCGATGAGGTCATCACTTTCATGACGTCACAGTTCTCGTACTGTCTCTTTTTGTCCGACTCCGAATTCGATGACGTCGATACGGCCGAAAGCCTGTTAAGATTCTGATAACTAACATCTGTTGAATGTATAGGACTAGGGTCTAGACTATCTCTTGGATAAATGTTAATATCGTTATCTGCAGCTTTTAATTCACATTTCAGACACTTTTCCTCGTCGCAATTATCACAATTGTTAACTTTGATTGTACGTTTGTTCGTATCACTGACTTCAGAATCGCTTTCTAAAGGATCGTACATTGGAGTTATTGGTGTTAAAGGGCTCGAATTAATTGTGCTTGTGGTAAGATTGCTAACGGAAGAGTTCTCTATGGGCCAATCGACTTTTATTAAAGTGGAATGATCTTTTCCATGCCAAGAGAGGCGGTGCATATTTTTCTCTTCTAAGTTAAGGGGGTGATGTAAGCCGCTGTAGCGTGATGAGCTTTTAACTTTTCTCGGCGAGTTTCTCTCCCTGAAAACGTTAGCTGGTTAGGGCTTTGGAGGTTTTTGCTTTAATAGTTGCGTCTGTTTTTATTAATATACTCTTTACTGCATCAAATAGTACAAAACGGAAAGTCAAATACATAGGTGGGCTTATCTCTAAAAGAGATATCTTCCAGCCAACCTAAGTAGTGTCGGAGATTCCAGACTTAGCAGGAAAACAGAAATTGTAATTAAAAATAAAAGTTTTTAGTTTCTCGTTCAGGAAATCTTCGTGTTAAGTATGTTTGAGAAAGAGGTATATTATATTGGATAATCATTACAAATATAGAAAGTGATATTTTTAATTTTATTCTTATTCAGTAAGGTGCCGATAATGTTTAAAATATATATAAAATAGGCTTTAACAGCTACTATTTATAGCTGCATTTGCCATTTGTAAATCGATCGACGTCGACATTCTTTACTTTTCTGACACAATTTAACTGTTTTATCGCGAATTAATTAGGAAAAAATGGGACTGGGCCCATAACCTAATAAAACACGCCTGGAGGTTGTTCAAAGACTAAACTTTTATATTTTTAATACAGAGACAATAGACAATTATCAAAAGATGCAAATAGTTGTCAACAGATGGCATTATTAGTATACAAGAAAGAACATTATTTTGATAGTAATTTTAACAATCTTTACTGATAATGTTTTGCTATTAATATCAACTGCGTTTTTTTTTGTATTTAAAACAAATATTAAACTTTTTGCCAGTGTTAAAATTCGTATATTTCGTTATTTCTCCCTTCAACAAAAAATAATACTATTAAAAGGTGCTGCCATATGTTAATTCCACAACCTATTTTGTTTTCTTTAAGACACTTCTATACTCAGTACTAATTCTACTCGAATCAAAACTACCGAGTGATGTTGTAAATTAGTACATAATAATGAAATTTATTTTACTTTACCTAACACTACCAATCCACAACTATTAAACAAAAATCTACATTTATTGTTAAGGCATAGCAATGTAAAATGATGTAATTAATATTTATTAATAAAAATGCAAATTATACATTCGTATTTTCAAAAATTAAATACGTTATTTTTAGAACAGCGAAATTATGAAAAAAAAAACCGCGACTTTATGTTACTTAGAGATTTTTGAAATACGAATGTTGTCATGCTTTGTATGAAGAATTGCCGCAGTTAAAAATACCATAGCATATAAACCACATCGTTTCTGATAACTTAATATCTACTATATAAAATTAAGTCGGGTTTTCCTTCCTGACGCTATAACTCCAGAATGCATGAACCGATTTCCACGGTTTTGCATTCGTTGGAAAGGTCTCGGGCTCCGTGAGGTTTATAGCAAAGAAAATTCAGGAAAATTAAAAAAAAATCTTCTTCTTTCAATCACCAAACGAAATGTTACATAAAACGAAGCCATCCGGTCGCGAAACGGAGTTCGCCGGGTTTGCTAGTTACTTATAAAACACTTTTACAATATGAAATGAAAATAATTACAATATATTCAATTAGATACATACACAACAGATTTCTTTTATCAATATGATGAAAGTTGAAGAAATATTGGTTAGTGTTGCCAAGAAAATGTATTCGACATTATAACAACAATGTGGTTTATAATACTGTTACAAAGAGGGTATGAGGTTATTTAAACTACAATCATAAACAAATTACAACTGGATATATTTCAATGATTGTTTATATAATAAACATAATTATATGTTATTTGTTTTAATTTAGAAATTATTGTTAACGCCATCTATCCCTCGACGAGAGAATCTACAATCGGTCCATCATCATTGTAGCAATATTAGTTTGTAGTGTTTGTATACTCTATGACCTGTGTGTCATCTACCTATGATTGGTTAGTCTATGGATACTTTTAGAATAAGATGGCGACTGATTGATATTGTACAATGAGAGAACAAGAATAAAGAAAGGTGATTATAAACAAGCTGTTTGAATATATACTCCTAATAAGTAAAGGCGATACAAAACAATCATCGTCCGTTCATAAATTCATTCCATACCCATTCGTTACTACATTCACTCATTAGTTTTATATAGATTCGCTTTTATCTTGCGATTCGAATTCAAAAAGACAACGTACGCACATCATTTCATAAGATCTGTATTTTACTTTGAATAATATTCTACAATCTGAATATCCGATTTTTATTAAATATCTACATAAAGAAGACACTAAGATATCGAACAATTATAGTTTTGAAAACTTTACATTCCTTTTTTGACAGTCGGTTAAAAAAAATATTGCCATTCAAAGGACAATTTACAGTTAATAAACACATGATGTTGATATAAAACTTAATATTTCTATAATGTGATGATAACAAGATTTTATTCATTTAACTTCGGGTTAATTTTTTAATTCCTAAACAAAATTTAATCGAACAATTTCATATTATAACCACACATTAAAATTGTTTTGTCATTCATATAAATTTCGATATTGTTAATATATTTGTTATGACTGAGTCATAATTTCAGAGATAAGTTTGATTCAAGAATAAGTCCTTCATTTCCAAATATTAAATAAAAAATATTAAGTTAATATGAAACTCGAAGTTTTGCATTCTTACATATAAATTTTCGGCGGTAAATTTCAATCATTTTTTTTATATAATTGAAATATATCCAGCTATTTATAATGTTAATATATATAACTCTATAACCAAGATACTATATATGTTAGGATTCCTACCTCATTTTCACTGAAGTCAATGGTGTCGGCATGTCAACTGAAGACGATACAGGACTCTCTCTGTCTTTGCACAACCTGTGAAAAGATATTTTTGCTTATAAACTTTATTTAGTAAGAAAACAATGCAATAACTCTACTAACTTAAACTTATTCGTTACTTAAATCTAATTGGTGTGAAACCTGGTCTGAGTAGAATATTTCTACTAAAATTCTTCTTTAGATTTAATAATCATAAATAAATAAATAATAAATATACATTTCCAACACTCACACCAATTAGCTTATAGCCCCAAAGTAAGCAGTGTAAGGCTTGTGTTATGGTATACTAGGGTAACGGATAGAATACATATACAGTACATATATAAGTAACTGACTATAATCCATGACTGGAGTACAAATGCTCGTATTCATCACACAGGCATTTGCCCCCACCGGGATTCGCACCCGGGACCTCTCGAGTCGGCGATACCTTGAAAAAACGGCGTACAAAACACTCGGCCACGAAGGTCGTCAAACTTAAACTTATTCGTTACTTTGTTATGTAATGAAACAAAGGAGTCTATCAAACAACTGATTTATTGATTGAACCCACATTATGTTAATTACAAAATACCGACAACTTAAATCTAATAGGGTATTTGACAAGTTTTAGAAAACGATCCCACGTTATTGACTAATGTTTAAGGAGTCCGTAAAAAGTGGATATTCATCATTCTGTTGTGTATTTAAGTAAAAATAATCAAATCAAATACTCCATTTTCAAGTTTTCGCGAAAACGTTTCTCTGGACAATATGGCGTCTTACTAGTGTGTGACGTCACACGACTGTTATTAAAACGTCAAACGATAAAATGTAATGTCACTTTAACTTTTTTGTACTGATCGTTCTACTGCAGCTAGTTTACGAAAAAAAACGATAATATGCACAACTTCAAACGCCTCAATAATGTTCAATAAATTAGATCAAATTAATTACTACGACATCAGAAATAAGCTTTTATGTAACATAATGTATTAATATGTTGATTTTCCATCCCCTTAATTATCAAAAAAAAAAACCTCTAACCTCCGTGAGTTTTCCCAAAAAATAATGGAACTTTACCTCGTATTTTGATATTGAATTAAATAGAACTAGCAAACCAGTGAACAGTTCACCAAAACCTGATTAAAAAAAAATGTATTTAATTAATTGAGAACTTCGGAGATTTTGTGTGGTTTCGTTTGAAATTCGTGATTTCTCGAAAACCGGAAGTGCTACGTTACTCAAATCCGGTTTGTAGTCTTATCAGACTATTCTTAACCTATAACTTAAATATTCTCTTTATCTTACGGTTTGGCCGCTGAAACAGCACCACAGACGGATGGACGGACTTGTCTAATAGATAAGGGATGACTATCAAAAACTTTCATAAAATTAATTAACCATTATTGAACTGCTGAAATATGTAGATATTTTTATAATTAGTTCATTAATAATTATTTTATAAGACTCGAAACATCACCCGTAAAATGCAATATATACTAGTGCAAATCTACCTACGCGCCGATCAGTACGGCAACGGCGCAATTTTGTAAAAGGGCTCTTAACATAAGCCTTACAGTGCTTACTTTGCGGCTAGGCTAATTGATGTGAGTGTTGGAAATATTTATTGAAATGAAACTTCTTGAGGCACACTTGACTTGGAGGGTAAACTGGCGAATGTGTTACGATTTCGCGTTACGATTAGTGTAATCGGTGACTCATCGGTAAACAAATAACCAACACCGATCACAAAACACACGAATCTAGTGCTTGGTGGGTGAAAACGGACCCAGCGCGGATTGGTGGGTAATTACGGACCCAGCGCGGATTGGTGGGTAATTACGGACCCAGCGCGGATTGGTGGGTAATTACGGACCCAGCGCGGATTGGTGGGTAATTTCGATCATTTTTTTTTATATAAATGAAATACATCCAGCTATATAAATGTTAATATATATAACTCTATAACCAAGATACTATATATGTTAGGATTCTTACCTCGCGCGGATTGGTGGGTAATTTCGATCTTTTTTTTTATATATAATTGAAATATATCCAGCTATATGAAATGTTAATATATATAACTCTATAAAAAAAGATACTATATATGTTAGGATTTATAACTCGCGCGGATTGGTGATTTCTTTTTCTATCAACAAACCTTCAGGTTAAGTTTATGATATTCAGATCATTGGAGCTACAGAAGTTTCACTTCAGTCGTGTGGTCATAAGCGCACTCGCTTTTTCGATATTTATTTATTGATTAGTTAGTGTAGATCTAAAGAAAATATAACTAGAAAAAATTACACGCGGACCAGGCAGCAGACGGGACTCGAACCCGCACCCTTCGCAATCCGGGCGAATGCACTGACCAATTATGCTACCGCGGCCCTCACGGACCGCGTCGAAATTCTTCTAGCCATTCTTAAGCTGCAAGGCAGCGCCATCTCTTCGCATTATAGGTAACCCACAATGTTAGTGAGTGTAGTTTCGTCGATCTCTGTCGGTATACTGACCGTTTAGCGTGATCGTCGATAGTGGGGGCGGGTGGTGCAGGGGGTCTTTTCTCAGCGGGTCGCGGGGATTCCCCGTCTATATACCCCATGCGGGAAACCTCCTCTACCCAGCGCTGTCTGTTACGAACAAATAAAACCATCATCATCAGCCTATTAATGTCCCCACTGCTGGGGCACAGGCCTTCCCTATGGATGGAATAGGGAGATTGGACCGCGACCCACCACGCGGGCCGAAGAAGGCCGTTGCCGAAGCACGAAGGAGCTCGAGATAGTAAATTTTTGGTCACCCATCCAATGAACGACCACTGCGAAAGTTGCTTAACTTCAATGATCGCAACCGAACGCGCTAACCATTTGCGCCATCGAACTCCTAGCAAATAATAATCTATACATATAATAAAATGGTAGGAAGGTCAAAACTGTACATTTTTTTTAAAAGAATACTTGGGGTTTGATCTACAATCGATACCGATGCCAAAAATATAGTTTTTAGAATTTTTGTCTGCGTGTCTGTATGTATGCCCGGGATAAACTCATGTATGGAATTACTTCAAATTTGGCACGAATATTATAAAGAAGTCGGATCGACATATAGGCTACATATTATCACGCTATCACCTACGGGGAACGAGCAGTGAACCTTTATTTCTAACTAAATCCACGCGTACGAAGTCGGAGGCAACCGCTAGTTTACTCAAAATGTATAAATTAACTTCACATACCTATCGGCCATTTCATTGGCAGCCTCTATATCGACTCGCAGTTGCCTCCTTGGACTGGGTTCAGCGCTGGATATGGACCCGGGGGGCGTTGATGCTGCAGAATCGTCCTGTGTTTAAGAAAAATATCGTTTTCGTGAAATAGATCATGTTTAGTATGACCTTCTTCAAACATAAGACTTTATCAAGCACTAAGGTTCGTATTACAGAATAGGGGTGATGACGGGGTAGAGTAAACGAAATTCTATTTAGTCCGTCAGTTAGATGATCAAAAAATAATGGACACGTATTTTTCTTTGGGCAATCAACCAAAAAATGACAAAGTTATAGCGCGTCAAAGTTTGGGAGTAGGGGCTCGTGACGTCACTTTTGAGTGAATTTTCACTTATAAGTGTACTTAAACGTGACGTCATGCGACTTTTCAAATCAATATATCTCTGCAATGTTTATATTTTGCGAAAAAAGAAAAAATACGTGTCCAATACTTTTTGATAATCTACCTAAAAAACGAAGAAAAAAAAAATAGTCATCATCCCTATGACAACTAAGTGTTGATCTTTATTTGAGTGCAGTTAGAAAGGCATAATGCTGTATATATATCACATAGCGACATCCCTTTCTAACTGTACTCAAGTAAAGATCAACAGTTAGTTGTCAGTTATCATTCTGTAATACGAGCCTTAATAAGCCCAACATTTGAGGAGCTGGCGAACAAAACGGTATAATTACATAAAATTAAATTTTACAATCCTAAAGTATCAAACCTAAAGTTAGGTTTAAGCATGGTTTTTAATTAATAATTTTTATTCATTTTAACACTGTTTTAGGCGGTTTTGGTTTGAAAATGGGCCCGAAACCTCCGGTCTGTAAAAAAAAGAGTAGTTTGACTTGATGCGTAATTATACCGTTTTGTTCGCCAGCTCCTCATATCATCGATACATTCCTATCCCGTATCATACATTTTTCTCCTTCACACACGCATGCACGCACGCACACACACGCAACTCGTAAGTGGTGGTGCGTGGCAAGTATAGAGGTATAAGAATAGAGAAGGGGTGATACAGACTCTACTACAAGTGGAAGTGTCCCTTCAAGAGAAAGAGAAAGAAGATGAGAGACCGCTAGCTTTCTTTCTTTAATCGCGCATGCGCATTGGCAACCGTAAGCATTTTATTTTTTATTATTATATCTCACTATTTAGATTTTAAAACCATTTAAAAGCAAAACATGAAAATAATTTTCTCAACTCGTGGCAGAAATCCTTCACTTACACAGACGAGGGGTTAAATCGAATGCATAGTACAACTCTTATGAACCGTCTAAATTTTATATTTTATATATTATTTTGTTAAAGATATTTTGATTTTTACCTGCGCAGCAATATGGCGGTCGTCTTCTTCGCTGAACATATGTAAGTCTCGTTCTTGTGGTGATAGTCGTAAACGCATATCGGCTAACTCAGCCTGCCACGGCTCGAAGTATGAGTCGCAGGACGAAGATCTGGTACAAAAAATAGAAATAATAACATATCGACAGTGCATCATCCCCTTCTGAGGGGTTTATCGCATCAGATCTATAAAATCTATAAAATATAAAATTTATTGTATTTATATATCTATATCCTAAATGTCGTAATGGAAGGTGACTTCAGAAGTATCTCTGAAGTCATTTTTCAACTTGACGACTCTGTATATAACAATACAGGGAGAAAAAGCAGCCCTTGCCTCGTTTCTTGCCAGTTCTTCTCAGTACAAGGTCTCCCGCCGTAGTTTTGCGACCGATGGTGTAGCTTCTTGACCTTCACAAGTGCTTGTAACAGCCTAGACTGAATAAATGATTTTTGATTGATTTTTTGATTTTAGACGAAGCCTGTAAGGCATAGGCATCAGTAAGAGTCTGACACAACCCTACAGCCGGCTGTAGGGTATCCATGAGGATTTCACACCCGCTCCCCCGCCTAGGAGGAGGTCAGGTAACTTTACAGAATCTAGGATCAGTTTTTTTTACAAAAAAAAATAACTTTGTAAATGAGAAATTGCTACATAAAAAAACATAGTCTTAAAATTTTATGTTCTAAATATCCTCCTCCTCCATTAAAAAGTTACTTAGTAATAATAACCATTTTATTTCAGATAAACATCCATATAATTATTAGAACAAGTAAGTAACAATGGTGTCGATTCTAGAGTGATTCTCTAAACTTAAAACCAAATTTAACATCAGTCTCTCCTTTTCATTTTGTAAAGAGAATGACAAGGATATACTGTTGTCAAATTTAAGTTTAGATTTAGAGAATCGTGCTAGAATCGACACCAATGTCGGGCTTATCCTATGTTAGTATAACTAGTATATTAAATAATAATTAAAAAAAAACTGCCATTACAATTAAAGATATTCACACACTATCATCATAATACTTTACAGTCATATGATTATTTTAAAAATTGTGCCTTTACTTTAGGAACTATATGTCGTTTAAAAAGCGAAAATCACTTGGCCATACATTTGTCAAGCTAACATCGAATCATACGCCAAATAGTAGGGCTTAAGCGCCATTGGTTCAAAAAACACCAATATTTATGTCGCTTCAGCCACTCAGCTTGTTATCAACAATAAAATCTTCAGAAAATTGAGTTGCTTAAGCTAGAGATGATCGATATTCATCGATGTTGTATAAACATCGATGTTTTCCAGTAAAACATCGATGTTTTGATATCGATAGGTTGACTCCGATATCATCGAATCATCGATGTTACTAGAATAAAAGTATCGAAACCTCAATTATTCTTTGGGGCGCCGTCTAACGTGCATTTTTTACAGTGTCCCTTAAAAAATACTGGGAATGTTAATTTTTCTTATTATTTTTGTGATTACTACATGTCTCAGGAAGAGTGGGCTTTTCAATTTAATGTCATTTTCTAATAATAAAAACATTTTATAAATATAATAGACAGTTTTATTTGTTTCCAAAAACATCGATGTTTTAGACATATCGATGTTTTTCTATCGCTATTTATCGTACATCGATACTTTTGATTCGATGTTATCATCGCACAAAAATCGATGCTTTTCTAATATCGATCATCCCTAGCTTAAGCGCTAAAAATGTACTCAATTCTTCACGAAACATAAACGGATCGACGCAGAAAAAAATCTGATTAAAACGATATCAATTTGTTTGAACAAAGTGGCTTATAAGCGATTTTTACTTTCCACTGTCAATATTATGTTTGAAGGAAAGTAAATAAATATAATTATACACTCTGAATTTTGAGTAACCTGAGAATTTTACTAGCTAATTCAGACTACGAATTAGATTATATTTCCGCAAAAAAAAAAAAAATTTTATATTCTTAATTTTTTTTTTTAAAATCTCCACATATTAACTCACTATTTCTGCAATTATGAATGCTTAACTATTTTAATTGTTATAAGTTGATTCAAATAGAACAACGAGACGAACTTCCTGCGGGGCCAACATATATGAGTCCACTGGACATATGCCACACGAGGCTGATGATCTAGGTAGAGACTAACTAACCTGGTGTGGTGTTTATATTGAACCGGGGGGCGAACGTCCAGCGGGGCCAACGTATCCGTGTCCGATGTTAGAGACTCGCAGGATTTTACTGGACGTATGCCACACGAGGATGATGGTATTGGTTCTTGTGTGTGCTGCAAATACATAAAAAAATGTTTCATGTGTCGCCTCTGATTTCAGAACCCAACCAGAACATCCAGATTTAAATCAAGAAGAAGACAAAATATGCTTTTGTCATGTTTCAATTCCAATGACTTTCGTTTTAAATTACAAGCAAACTTTGCTAAATCCCAAGTAAAAATAAGAACAAAACAGCACTTCACTCCAAAATCCATCATATCAGTTACAAAAAAATACATCAAATAACGCCATACAGACTAAATCACTATCTCAAGCTTTGTACCCTCCCAAACGTTCCATGACACTTGAGTGTCATAAAAGTGTTTCCAGTCAAACGTAAGAGGACAGTTGAGTGTCCTCTGTGGCTGGTCTTGTTTTTGCTCATTAGCACGCTCTAGAAAGCATCCTTATCGCTGCTTATGGTCTCTTTAGTTTAGGCAAAATATGAAAATGGTGTTGTGAATAAAAGTGCAGTGCTCTCTGAACTTTAGATTTTTGTTTTACATCAGTTTCAAGTACGCGCTCCACGAAAAATGGAGACGTCGTGGACGTTTCAACCGAAATGACCCGAATTTTGTAGAAAACACTGTTTTCTCATTATTTAATTTTAAGGTGTGGTATATCCACGTGTTCCTGAAGATTGATTTACCCGTGTCAGTGATGTGAAAAGATCATAGCGTTATTTGCGTTAAAATTAAAAACCTACAAAAATGTGAACACGTAAATTTTTTATTTGTTACCAGCTATTTTTATTTTGGTATGTTTTTCTTATTAAATAAAACTAGTTTTAACAGGTTAATGCACGAAACTTTATTTATTTATTGACGTTTCGCAGCCTTTTCAGGTCTGCTTCGTAAGAAAGACTTCTGACCCGTTAAAACTAGTTTAATTTAATGAGTGATGTGCGAGAAAACGTAAGAAACAAAAATATTTATTTATAGAAAATTACTGTATAAAAATTGCAAACGTTGGAAAGGTAAGGAGTGTTGATAAAAATCAAACCTGCATTAAAAACTTGGGTACCCACACTTAACTGTTCAAGTATTGTAAAATACTGGGCAAATTAAATCGTCTATACTTAAATTGTTTCGAAAAATAAATAAGAGCCTTATAAAAGAAAAAATAAATTACCGAGCTCAAGTTCTGTCGTACACGGTTTGTGAAACGTTGATTTTTTTTATAATCAACATTTAACAAAACCGTCTACACAATCCTCTGTTTCAATCCATATATTTAATTGCATCAACAAAGTTTTCTCATTCCGAACCAGATGGAAAACACGTACAAACACCCCCCCCCCCTCGCGCGGGTCAAGGGGCAGGGTAATGTTTCATCGGCAATTTTTTCAACCACTCGCTAGTGGGAAATGCGTTCCAAGCCTACGCTCCGAGTGCAACTTTTCACTCTGACGTTCGAATTTGGCATAAAATGTATGAAACTTGTGGAACATAGCCATGTGTACTTTATGTACGACAACCGCGTGAGCAGTAGACGGCGGCGTGTGCAGAGAAACATGTTTCAGTAACAAAAGTTTTGTGTATGTGTTTTTGTTGAATGTTTTTAAACAAAACTTATGTCGGACACCCATCTTTATACGATATGGAAATGAAACGCTTGTATTAGTATAACTTTGTGTTGAATGTTTTAAAAAAAAAAACTTTTGCTGGAGAAGACCCATCATTATACGATATGGAAATGAAATGCTAGTATTTGTATAAGTTCGGGTAATTTCACCCGGGTAATTTCGGTAAATTTGGGGTAATTTCAACCGGGTAATTTCGGTAAATTTGGGGTAATTTCAACCGGGTAATTTCGGAAATTACGGGTAATTTCACCCGGGTAATTTCGGTAAATTTCGGGTAATGTTACCTGCGGTGGTGGCGGTGGAGGGGCGGCACGGTGTTTGGATCGAGAGAACAACCCGCGCCACCCGGAAGGGGAGCGCTTGACACCACGCTTACCTATACATGAGAGAGAGAGAGAGAGAGTTAGAGATATCTTATTAACCAATTAACACAAGTTTTGCAAAAATAATGAAAAAACACATTTACATTAATATAAAAATTAAAATTAGAAAATAACTTAATACTATAATCTAATATATAAAATTCTTGTGTCACGGTGTGCGTAATTGAACTACTCCGAAAAGGCTCGACCGATTTTCGTGAAATTTTATATGCATATTCAGGAGGTCTGAGAATCGGACATCATCTATTTTTCATCCCCCTAAATGTTAAGGGTGGTCCACCATTATTTTGTGAATAAAAAGGAAATGAATATATAAAGATGACTCACCAGGTACTGGAAGATCGAGAACCGTATGGTATTGTGGTAGATTGTTGGGTCCCGATCCAACCTGTTAAATAAAACCACACAACTAATTAAATATACTTAACAATCATTATTATATAGCTCTTTCACTAATATTAAATAGACAATGAAAGTTAATAAGTCGTTTAAAATGTTATTTAGGGGTGATTTCCAGAACACTGGATAAAATTATTGTCTGATGTCGTATTCTACGGTTAAAATAAAGACATCTCTCATATATTTCATCATTATATATATCATCTTGTGTGACATCTCCCTCAACTTAATTGAGTTTAGTTTTATCAGAGTTTAGAAAAATCGGTCCCTAGTCTAGTAAATTGAATAAACAAACAAAACAACATAATCAATTAAGCGCAAGAAAAGTAGGGCATAATTGATTATTTTCGGTTGAATGGGAACAAAAATAAAAAACAGAATTAAATCCACCAAAAATTAGATAGTGTAAAAAACTAGTTTTAACGGGTTAATGCACAAAACTTTATTTATTTATTTATTGACGTTTTGCAGCCTTTTCAGGACTGCATCGTCAGAAGAATGATTTTTTATTTATCAAAAGGCTGCGAAGCGTCAATAAATAAATAAAGTTTCGTGCATTAACCCGTTAAAACTAGTTTTATTTAATGAGTGATGTGCGTGAAAACCTAATAAACAAATTAGGTAGTGTAATTAGGAATAACTCAGAACAGACTAAGTATTGAAATTTGGCGATATAGTTACTTTTATTCAGCTCAAAAATGCCTATCAATCGTCATAACACACATAGCTATTGGATGGTGGGACCAGATTTTATACAAACCCTGGCATCATCCTTTCGTTGTTGTTAGTGCAATGTTTTACTAATGTAATTTTTATTTATATTTTCATTTATTTATATTTTATTGCACAAATGAGTGTACAAGTGGCGAACTTAATGTCATTAAGTATTCTCTACCAGTCAACCGGTGAATTATAGCAAAAATCGTAAGAAGGTAGTGTAAAAAGAATTCATAAAATTACTTAATGCGTATTTTTCCCCCACTAACCTCTATATATTTCGGCCTTAGATGCGAGGAGGGCCTTAATTGAGTGGCAGCCGAAGCGATATTTCCTGAAGGGGCGGGGGGAGTCATTCCCCCCATCGAATCTCCCCCACAACCTGGCCCTCTGCCACGACGACGGGCTTCTTCTAAGCTGTTGGAAGTACATAAATATAAATAAATATTTCCAACACTCACACCAATTAGCCTAGCTCCAAAGTAAGCACTGTAAGGCTTGTGTTATGAGATACTAGGGTAACGGATAGAATACATATCATCATCATCATCAGCCTATTAATGTCCCCACTGCTGGGGCACAGGCCTTCCCTATGTATGGAATAGGGAGATTGGGCCATGACCCACCACGCGGGCCCAGTGCGGGTTGGTAGGTGCTAACGACTGCAGATTCAGCCGGGACCAACGGCTTAACGTGCCTTCCGAAGCACGGAGGAGCTCGAGATAGTAATTTTTGGTCACCCATCCAATGACCGACCACTGCGAAAGTTGCTTAAGTTCAACGATCGCAGCCGCTAACCACTTGCGCCGTCGAGCTCCTCAGAATACATATTAGAATACATATACTGTACATATATAGGTATACTCGTATTTATATTAGAAATACATATTAAACATCCATGACTGGAGTACAAATACTCGTATTCATCACACAAACATCTGCCCCCACCGGGATTTGAACCCGGGACCTCTCGAGACGGCGACACCATGAGACCCGGCGTACAAACCACTCGGCAAGAATCATCATAATTCTGACGACGCAGCCTGAAAAGGATGCGAAACGTCATAAATAAATAAATCAGTGCATCTATACCGATGAAACTTGTTTTATTTAATAACTGGTGTGAATGAAAACCTAAGAAACAAATTTGTTGTTGCTGTTGTTATACATTGTTCGCAAATTCAAAATTACGAGCAATACAGCGCAGCGTGCGGTAAAATTCATTACGCACGCTCCCATACATGACATCGTTCGTATTCTTTACGGTTTTTTTTTTCAATCGAACCTCTTCGGAAGCACTTTTAGTCTATACCTGTGTCTCACTTTAATACTAAAAAGAAAAAGAGACGAAAGATGTAATTCTTATTTTCACCACCCGCACGTGGCGCCATATAGAAATGCGCGCCATTTTCTTATTAGAAAAAAAATTGCTTCATTACTTAAATTATGTATAATGTTATATTGTTTAAAACTTTTATGGTCACTAACATTATAGTAATATAAGTTATTTACGGGATTGTTACCATGTACCTTGTTTTAAGCGAGTTTCCGATATTTCGGCACTGTTGCAAGCGCCATGATCACAGAGTAACTTAATTGAGTGGCAGCCGAAGCGATATTTCCTGAAGGGGCGGGGGGAGTCATTCCCCCCATCGAATCTCCCCCACAACCTGGCCCTCTGCCACGACGACGGGCTTCGTCTAAGCTGTTACTCCGTGAGCATGGCGCTTGCAACAGTGCCGAAATATCGGAAACTTGCTAAAAACAAGGTACATGGTAACAATCGCGTAAATAACTTCATCATCATCATCAGCCTATTAATGTCCCCATTTCTGGGGCACAGACCTTCCTTATGGATGGAATAGGGAGATTGGGCCATGACCCACCACGCGGGCCCAGGGCGGGTTGGTGGGTGTTAACGACTGTAGATGCAGCCGGAACCAACGGCTTAACGTGCCTTCCGAAGCACGGAGGAGCTCGAGATGATAAATTTTTGGTCACCCATCCAATGACCGACCACTGCGAAAGTTGCTCAACTTCAACGACCGCAGCCGAACGCGCTAACCACTGGCGCCATCGAGCTCCTCCTCGAGGAGTAAATAACTTACATTACTATAATGTATAATGTTTTCTCGCAAATGTGTTGAAAAACATTGTATGACATTCGTGCGGATTAGTATTACAAACTCGTGACTTAGGTACGCCAAGTAGTGGAGCTCTTTCCTTATCACGCAATCGTTTACAAAATACACAAGGAGGAGAATAAAATGCATTATACATATGACACTGGCTGGAGTAACAAAGAAAACAATCCGGCCAATTACAGAATTTCACAATGTATTGTGGGAAGGCTTGTGCCCTAGCAGCGAGGACATAATGGTGATGAAATGAGAAACGATAATTATATACTAGTTTTAATCATTACGAAGTGCACTAACATAGTAATATGGCAAATTGTTTTAATCTAAAGAAAGTTTTACTAGAAAGAAAGTACAATGCGAAAAAATGCCGCTAGTTGTTTCTAGTTTTTGAAATTATATTTTTTTTTACGTTTAAACATTAACGTTAAATGCTTATAAAAAAAAATATAACCAAATTGTTTTAACTACCATTCTACGGAGTGCCCACTGTCTGAAATTAAAATGGACTTTAATATTATAATCTTACCTTAGTAACTTGGTAGGTGGCCCCAGAGGCAAGCTTTTCGGTCGACGACTGCAATCTGGGTCTGAACGGGGTGGGGAACGCCTCTCCTTTAGTACAAAAAAATAATCAATTATCTATTTCTTGGAAGACCAACAACTGATATTCATTGACAGAAAACCATTTCTTCGAACCAAACTGATACCAATAAACTGATACTATTTTTTACCGATTTTAGTGGTAAATTTTAGTAAATTTTCTGCCTTCGACCTTTGGGAAGAAAGATAGACTAGATTTTTATTTACTCACCAGTTCGATGGAGTTCGGACCGGAACTATCTCCAGAGTCGGCTCCTTGTTCTTCGCCGAACAAATCTTCCGCGTAACATATTAGGAACTCTGTTATCACCGCCTGCAACAAAAATTTATAAATGAACTTTTAGGTAACTTTATGAGTCTTAAGAAAATATCACTAGAAAAAATTGAGAAATATTTAAATGTTCCTCCATAACTTAACAAATAATCCCTTAAAATAACACAATTGGTAACTGTACGAGCCCTTGTCAACTCAGTACATCGAATTGCTATTTCTTGATATCGAAGACAGGAAAACACTTGATAAACTTGACGAAAATATTTATTATTAAACTTGTAAGTAACTGTGTGCACACTGCTTGAGACAAACGCGAACTAACTTGGGCGTGATTATGAAATATATTTAAACGGTAAAATGGTGTCAATTCTGACAGATCCTCTAAACCTAAACTTAAATATGACAACAGCGTATCCTTGTCATTCTCTATACGGAATGAAAAGGAGGGATTGATGTTAAATTTAGTTTTAAGTTTAGAGAATCACGCCAGAATCGTCACCAATATTGACCTAAAACAATCACGTGCGGTTAAAAATGCTTTGCTAGCAAAATGTACGATTTGATCGTACAGTAACCTAAAGGTTAGGTTAGGTTGTAAATTGTATTTTTATTTGGATCATTTAAATGTGGATGTGTGGATTCGAACCTACATTTACGCTATCTTAGCGGACGCGCGGACCAATTATTCTACCACGACCTTAATGCCCGTGTCAAATTTGTTCTAGCATTTCTAAGATTACAAAGCAGCCCCAACCCTTCGAATAATAGGTTTAGGTATTTTTTAAACAAGTCGCGGCTGCGCCGGCAACGTCTACACGACTAACTATTACCCGAAACCCAACACCACCCATCCGAGAAAATGTTTAGTGTAAAAGGCCCTGGAAACCACCAAAGTTTGACAAACTTGCTTGACAAACTTCACGTTTCACTTACTAATTTGTTTGTCATCAAACAAGGTCTTAAAAAATCAAATTTGTTTGACGAACACGTAAATTTGATGCCGGACACCGCACTTGGCTATTCATACTTACTATTTGTAGACTTGACGATAGTCTATCCTTGTCAAACTTTATATGGAAAGAGAAGGGCAGACTGATGATGCAATACGAATAGCCAAGTGAAATGGTGGCATGACAAACAAATTTTATCATTTGCAGGACTCATACCCCCTTATTTATAAACGTAGAATAAACTGGGTTTAGTTAATCCATGTTTTGTCTCTGTTCGCTGAATGCCAATTGGCAATTGACTAGTCTAAACTTATTCCTTGTTTATTAATAAAGGGGTTAAATTTGATGCACCCTCGTCGCTCTGCCACCCCCTCACCTGTACAGCGACGCCGTGTAACGCGTGATGAGCATGAGGACTGCGCAGTAGATTCGGAGCCCATACTATGGCCATATTTCGCGCTGTCATGCCCGTCTTGTCGCCAAGCAGAGATATCCGTCGAAGATGCCGCATCAAGTACGAGAGGGTCCTGGAACAAAGTTTATACTATTTTTAGTTCTATTCTTCCCTATTGGAAAAGGCAAAGCCATGCAGCCATCGTCTTATTTAAGTTTTAATCTTCCTTTTTTTTACATTAGACTGTGGGTGTGACGCATTCTAATGTTCTTTATTGTAGTGTTGACTGCTTCTGTGAAGTAGTCAACACTACAATAAAGTTCTCACATCCACTTGACCGATATAGAGGGTTTTTTTTAAAGATTCCGTTAATTCTTCAGTTGCGCAGAGGATTGTAACACAAAATCAATTTTATTCCACAATATCCACTATGAACGAATTTAAAAAATATTTAAAATATGACGCCAACCGCACTCGATGAAATCCCGCCAAAAACTCAAGTTTATATTTTACTAGCGGCCCGGCCTCGCTTCGCTTCGGTGTAGAGCTGAAGTGTAGACTACAGTTTTTGTTCTCAGGCTTGTATTATACACAATGACATTCATCTATGATTCTTCTTATACCTGCATGCAAAGTCTCAGCCCGATCGGTTTAAAATTGACAAAGTTTCATATAAACTTTCATTCCCTATTTTATTTTTGGGGTGGGATTTTGATCAATTCTACCCCCTATATTGGGGGTAGAATTGATCAAAATCCTTTCTTAGCGGATGCCTACGTCATAACAGAGTCCGTCTAGTAGAAAGAGAAAGAAGATGAGAGACCGCTTGCTATCTCTCTCTCTTGTGACGCATGGCATCCAATGGCATCACATCGAAATAGTAAGATGCTTACGGTTGCCAATGCGCGATTAGAAAGAGAAAGCTAGCGGTCTCTCATCTTCTTTCTCTTTCTATTGGAGGGACACTTCCACTTGTAGTAGTCTATATCTCCCCTACTCTATTCGTTTACCTTTATGGATGTAGTTCAAATTTTCACCACTCACACGTGTCGCCATTTGAAATAAATTGCGCGCCATCTATATATATAAAACTCAAAGGTGACTGACTTACATAGTGATCTATCAACGCACAGCCCAAACCACTGGACGGATCGGGCTGTAATTTGGCATACAGGTAGATGTTATGACGTAGGCATCCGCTTTGAAAGGATTTTGATCAATTCTAACCCCAAGGGGATAAAATAGGGAATAAAAGTTTGTATGAAACTTTGTCAATTTTAAACCGATCGGGCTGAGACTTTGCATGCAGGTATAAAAAGAATCATAGATGATTGTCATTATGTATAATACAAGCCTGAGAACAAAAACTGTGGTCTACACTTCAGCTCTACACCGAAGCGAAGCGAGGGCGTGCCGCTAGTTTTCTTATAAAAAAAAAACAGTTTGCTTCGTTACTTATATTAGGTATAGGTATTGTTTTCTCGCAAATGTGTTGAAAAACGTTGCATGATGGTGTAACTGGGCGAAATTGGTATTTACAAACTCGTGGCTATGGCAAGCACTCACGCGTAATAACCAGCTTACCGCACTAGTATCATAAATAACTAAAGATCAACGAATTGGAATTACACAACTACTGTATTCGATATGCGATCGTGAAGTTAAGCTACTTTTACAATGGCCGGTCATTGGATGGGTGACCAAACACTTTTAATCTCCTCCACCTCCGTGCTTCGGAAGGCACTTTAAGCTGTTGGTTCCGACTGCATCTGCAGTAGTTAGCACACAACATATACCCCACTATATTAGGTCATGGACCGTCGTCCCCATACCTGGCCTAAGATGAGCTCTCTAAAATTAAAAATCATTTATTCAGTCTAGGCTGTTACAAGCACTTGTGAAGGTCAAAAATCTACGCTATCGGTTCGCAAACCGGCAAGAAACTCAGCAAGGGCTGTTTTTTTCTTCCTGTATTGTTATATACAATTTTTAAGTTGAAAAATAACTTCAAAGATACTTCTGAAGTCACCTTCCTATTTCTGGCCTAAGACTTGGTGCCTCAGCTGTGGGTACATTAATAGGCTGGTGACGATCATGGGTGTATTCCGTAATATATACCAGTATACTGGCCAGTGCTAATGACGTCATGGATCGACGCTATACTGGTGAATTGTTCCGAAATATATTGGCCAGTGCACAGACTTCATAAATCGACGAAATATTAAAAATAGTGCGAATAAAGAAGAATTTTTATTCACTTAATCAATTAAAAGGAATTCTTTTTATTCGGATGCCTTTATTGTTCTGTAAATAATAAAGAAATAAAATTCGAATGCATCTCACGCACGCTCGGTCATACGTCATATTCGTTTTCCCGGTAAAAATATGGTAGCATACCAGTACAATATGGCGTCGGATTCGTGACGTCATTACCACTGGTCGGTATACTGTTGTACATTTCGGAATACACCCGATATCTCACCTATAATGCGGTGGAGGCAACTTGACTACGGTGTCACGAACCGCCTTCAGTTTGTTGGCTTCGTCCTGTTGTACGGCTTGTACAAAACTCTCGTACAGTTGATACGTGCATAGGGGATTAGGGAGTTCCCTGCAAAGATATAATAAGTTGGGTGATTATGAATATGGCATTTGCATAAATAATAATAAATAAACAAATATTTCCAACACTCATACCAATTAGCCTAGCCCCAAAGTAAGCACTGTAAGGCTTGTGTTATGGGATGCTAGGGTAACAGATAGAATACATAAACTATACATATACATATAAGTATATTTATATAGAAATAAATATTAAACATCCAAACATGACAACATGAATATTTATTTATTTAGTTATTTATTCATTGCATATCACATTCACAGGAATAAGTAATCATGTGACGCCCTGTAATGGCACAGCAACTAGAGGGTTATTATTTATTTAAAATACATTGTTATCATACAATTGCACAATATAATTCATAAATTAAGATTCAATCATTCTAAACATACATTGGGATACATACTGCAATATGTATGTTCCGTACACTTAGCTTTAGATGTTTATTGTAACTAGAAATAATTGATATGATTAGATAGTTTATTGATTTGATATAATTGATATTGAGAACGCGTCCGCCGTGTAATAGGTGTAAACGTGTACTATTGCAGCTTAAGAATGGCTAGAAGAATTTCGACGCGGTCCGTGAGGGCCGCGGTAGCATAATTTGTCAGTGCATTCGCCCGGATTGCGAAGGGTGTGGGTTCGAGTCCCGTTTGCTGCCTGGTCCGCGTGGAATATTTTCTATTTATATTTTCTTTAGATTTAGACATCAAGCAGTTACATGCTTTAAAAAAATAAAAATTATAACCTGTACTATTGTTAAAATCATGTAAATGACGTAATTTAAATGGACCTAATTAAATTGCGGACTTGCAAAAATGTACGGTCGCACTGTACAGTTCCATTATTATCATTATTATCTAATTCGAATAGTTTGCGAGTGCGAAATGTCAATGTCAAATTTTGTATGGAAACTTGAACAGCAGGGCCACAAAGTACGTAACGAGAACTAAAAATCAATACACATTTGACAATGACATTTCGGATTCGCAAACTATTCCAATTCGATATTGGTTCGTGCTAAGGGTACCGACTACTATAGAGCAACACTGACATGACCGATCTTGTCGAATTGTCGACCTATCTAATTCTAAATCAAAACAATTTTGAATTATTTTCATACAAATTCTTTATATTCTTTTGGTAAAAATTCGAATTTTCGATTAGCCAAATCGATCCCGGTCCCAATTAATTCGGATAATCGGAGTTCTACTGTACATACATTATAATCTACTATATAAAAATAAGTCGGGTTTTCCTTCCTGACGCTATAACTCCAGAACGCACGAACCGATTTCCACGGTTTTGCATTCGTTGGAAAGGTCTCGGGCTCCGTGAGGTTTATAGCAAAGAAAATCCAGGAAAAATTAAAAAAAAATCGTTTTCTTTTAATCACAAAACGAAATGTTACATAAAACGAAGCTATCTGGTGGCGAAACGGAGTTCGCTGGGTTTGCTAGTTATATATATATATATTTTTTATTGGCTTGAACAATAATGTGGTGTTAAACCAGCATCTCCTTTTAAGCTTAAATAACATGTGTCAGGAGATAGAGCTCTTCCTTAAAATAGATAAGTATAACAATCCAATAAAATCTAAACAAACCATGACCAAGATCTTATTAGTTTAGACGTTTGGTGTTTATGCCTACGTAACTGTAAATGTGGGTGTGAGTGTTTCTATTTTGTATGCATGTTTATTTGTGTGTGTGTGTGTGTGTGTGTGTGTGTGTGTGTGTGTGTGTGTGTGTGTTGGTGTAGTGTGTGTGTGTGTGTGTGTGTTGGTGTAGTGTGTGTGCGTGTATGTGTCTTAGTGTGTGCAAGAATACTAGGCTCTGCTTAATAATATCTCGATTTCAACATATGTTTTAGCTGTTAACCATTTTATCAGTAGATCTTTGCATTGATAATAAATTTTATCATATGCATAAATATATTTATTAATGGTGTTGTATACGTGTATAGATCAACTATTGAACTGACTGCTAGCAAATAAAGTGTTGGTTCTTGGTGCACGTATAATAACGTCTTTCCTTCTCCTTTTTGAAATCTCAGGGTCATACGTATGTTCTTTTTAGAATAATATGATCTATGTACAGCTTCCTTACAGATAATAAATTACTATTTTATTATAGCCACTGACCTGAAATACATCTTCAATAAACTCGGCACAGCGTGCGGGTCTCTGGTGACAGCGGGAGCGGTCAGATCCGGTGCTGTTCCCGCGTCGAAGGCGGCGCGCAACCGCTGCGTGAGACCTGAACCGCCTGACAGGCGGTAAACGCCGTCTACCGCGCCGCGGGACTCTATTGCGCCCGCGCACGACACCAACACTTGCGGCACTGCGGAAATGGAGAGAATATGGAGGGAAAATACAAAAAAGATGCTAATTTTAGAGCAAAAGATAACCCTTTAACAGTCTAAATTGGACCAATTCCATTAGATTCTTATCTCCCCCTCGTCTGTTTAATCCATCCCCCATTTGTATAATCCCCCCCCCCAAACCCACTTATAACCATCTTTATGGTTGAAAATACCAAGAAGCAAATATTTGAGCAAACACGAAAGAATTGAGTATAACCCCCCATCTCACATGCACGCCCCGTCCCACCTCTCACTTTCACTGAATCTCTTTCTGATACAACAACCGTAGCCCCAGTAAAATCAGAATATTATAAAACATGTTTTATCGCGGGTCTACCGCGTCGAAGGCGGCGCGTAACCGCTGCGTGAGACCTGAACCGCCTGACAGGCGGTAAACGCCGTCTACCGCGCCGCGGGACTCTATTGCGCCCGCGCACGACACCAATAGTTGCGGCACTGCGGAAATATACCGACTAATAACTAAAACACGAGATTTAAGAACAAGCTTGCCGTTCCATGTTTCAGACTCCAAAAATCTAGAGGTTCATTTCTGGGATGTAGTATTGCATTGTTTAACAAAGTTCCCCAAGATCTGATTGAGCTTCCACTAACCAAATTTAAATCTCAGATTAAGAATACTCTTATGAATAAGGGCTATTATAAAGTTAATGATTATCTAAATGATCGTAATGCATGGACATAGTGTTTCTTGTAATTTCTTATTTGATGGGTATGAGTCAGTTTTGTAACAGTAGTATGGTACCTATCTAATGCCGCTTCCTATATATACTAAATATAAAATTTGTTGTAACTATATATCTATACCCTAAATAATGTAATGGAAGGTGACTTCAGAAGTATGTCTGAAGTCATTTTTCAACTTGACGACTCTGTATATATCAATACAGGGAGAAAAAAGCAGCCCTTGCTGAGTTTCTTGCCGGTTCTTCTCAGTACAAGGTCTCCCGCCGTAGTTTTGCGAACCGATGGCGTAGCTTCTTGACTTTCACAAGTGCTTGTAACAGCCTAGACTGAATAAACGACTTTTCATTTCATTTCATTTCATTTCAATCACTTGTAATCGAAAAACTATTTTCTTTCTTCCTTTTATTTTAAGCAAAAACGAAAGAACTGATCCTAGGGTAGCCCCCCCCCCCCCTCCCCTATCTCTCCTTCCTCACTATCTCGTTAATGACTCCCTCTACCCATCTTACTTGGGGCACTAGGAAAACGAGCGTGGCTTTTGAGAAACCTGCCCAATCACTTACAAATACAGGAAAAATAGCAAAAAATAGCAAATCTTTGAGCAAAAACCAAAGACCCTCCCCCATCAACGAGACTGATAGTATGACGAGCACTGCTTGACTATGGCCACTAGTAAGACACCACAACATCGTTTCTCATCTACACACTACAGTAAAAGCGGCGAGCAACCGCTACGTGAGACCTGAACCGCCTGACAGGCGGTAAACACCATCTACCGCTCCTCGTGATTCTATTGCGCACGACACCAATACTAGCGGCACTGCGGAAATGTGTGTAACATTGTAGGAAACTGACCAATCATTATTAAACTTAAAAAAATGTTTAATTTCTTCACCATACATTTGGTTACATAGATAAAGGTAGGCTCTTTTTTTAAGTGTAAGACACCTGTACCAAAAAGAACCACTCTTAAATAGCATAAGTTACATTATTTAATAGGGGTTATATAAGGTCATTCATTTTATTTAATCATTGATAACAAAAACTGAAAAAAGTGGCTTATTTTTGAGCAAAATACTCTAATTACCTCCCCCAATTTCTAATCCATCCCCACCATTCCTCAAAAATATAAAAAGTGGCTTACTTTAGAGCAAAAGATAACCCCTGAACAATTTAAATTGGACCAATTCGATTACTCTTATCCCCCCCCCCCTTCTCCTCCTCGTCTGTCTAATCCATCCCCTATTTGTCTAATCCTCCCCATCTCACTTATAACCATAAAGAGGGAGGAAATACCAAGAAGAAAATATTTAAGCAAAAACGAAAGAATTGAGTATAGCCCCTCCCATCTCACATGCACGCCCCCTCCTACCTCTCACACTGTCTCTCTCTTACACTGAATCTCTTTCTGACGCAAAAACCGTGGCCCCAGTAAAATCAAAATATTATATAACATTTTTAATAGTTGAAGGAGGCCCGCAACCGCTGCGTGAGCCCTGAACCGCCAAACAAGCGGTAAACGCCGTCTACCGGGCCGCGGGACTCTATTGCGGCAACGCACGACACCAACAAAATAAAAACAAAATAATCAAAACAAATCTTTGTTAAGTTGGTGCGGAGTTTATGGGTATAGTTTACTAGCAAACCAGTGAACCAAATGTTCACCAAAACCTGATTTAAAAAAAAATGTATTTAATTAATTGAGAACTTCGGAGATTTTGTGTGGTTTCGTTTGAAATCGTGATTTCTCGAAAACCGGAAGTGCTACGTTACTCAAATCCGGTTTGTAGTCTTATCAGACTATTCCTAACTTATAACTTAAACATTCTCTTTATCTATCTCTTACGGTTTGGCCGCTGAAACAGCACCACAGACAGACGGACGGACTTGTCTAATAGATAAGAGATACTAAAATAATATTTTTGATGATTTTTGCCATTTTGTGCGAGCGATGTTGTGGTGTCTTACTAGTAGTAGCTATAGCCAACGCGGTGCTCGTCATACTATCAGCTTTTAGGAGCAACAGTTTGATGTCCTATTTTTGTCTTGTCGTATACTTTTGTTGGGTCATCATGAGAAAAAACAAAAAAAAAAAGCGATAATACAACCAATATATATATACGACCTTCATTGATGAATTGATGATTGTAGATCTCGAATAAACCTTTCAGGCTTTCATTTGCCCTGAATTAAAAATATTATTATTATTAACGGGATTGTTACCGAAATATCGGAGATTTATTAATAACAAGGATGTACTTTGTTATTAAACTGTTGCAAGCGCCATGATCACGAAGTAACAGTTACCCCGAGTCAGACTCATAAATAAATAATAATAAATAAATATTTCCGACACTCACACCAATTAGCCTAGCCCCAAAGTAAGCACTATAAGGGTTGTGTTATGGAATGCTAGGGTAACGGATAGAATACATATACTGTACATATATAAGTATATTTATATAAATACATATTAAACATCCATGACTGGAGTACAAATGCTCGTATTCATCACACAAACATCTGATCACAAACCCCCACCGGGATTCGAACCCGGGACCTCTCGAGTCGGCGACAGCCATGAAACCCGGCGTACAAACCACTCGGCCACGGAGGTCGTCAAAATAAAGAACAAGGTAAATGGTATATTGTTTTAAACTTTCATGGTCACTAACATTATAGATATTAACGGGATTGTTACCATGTACCTTGTTTTTTATGAGTCTCCGATATTTCGGCACTGTTGCAAGCGCCATGATCACGGAGTAACTCACATCTCACTAACTAAAAAGGTAAATGGTAACAATCCTGCTAATAGCTAATATTAGTGACCATGAAAGTTTAAAACAATATATGACCACTTCTACTTTATCATTCTCTCTATAAATACTTTCAAAACTCACCATCATGGCCGCAATTCAGCAAATGTTCAGCCAGGTCGCATCCGAACACTCTTTCCCTTAATATCCCTTGCTGTTTAAGACTTCTTCGGGAAGGTCTGGACAGTATGAAGCTTCGGAATAGACTGATGAGCTTCCCGTGTTTGCGGAGTACAGGTTTTATCGGAGCCATTGCTACGGACCTGGAAGGAAAAAGTCAGTTACGCATCCTGTGTTTCGAGGCATATTTTGACAAAACCACATTGTCACTCACAATCAAACACCGTTACGCACACATGCACAATTTAATTTGTTGAAACACTTGCGATCTGTAATTTACATCCTATATCTATCCCTGCACCATGCTAATCTCTACTCACCCCACTATAGACTGAGGTTGCATCATATGGCGTGGGACTTTGTCCCCAATAAATAAATAAATAAAAATAAATTACAAATTTCTTCTAACCATGTCTCAACTGTCATTCCGGTCACCCATCTTTTTCCAAACCATCCTCACGATCCCTGCGCCCTGCTATCTCTACTCACCCCACTATAGGCGGAGGTTGCATCATATGCCGTGGGACTTTGTCCCCTATTACGCATTTATTCTAATCATTTCTCAACTGTCATTCCGGTCACCCATCTTTTTCCAAAACCTTCCTCACGATCCCTGCACCATGCTAATCTCTACTCACTCCTCTATAGGCAAAGGTTGCGTCATATGCCGCGGCACTTTGTCCCCGATAAAGCATTCCTTCTAACCATTTCTAAAACTAAGATCCCGGTCACCCATCTTCTACCATACTATCGCACCCTGCACCTCGCTAATCTCCACTCACCCCACTATAGGCGGAGGCTGCGTTATATACCGCGGCATTTTGTCCCCATCCGCATTTCTTCTAATCATTTCTCGACTGTCATTCCGGTCACCCATCTTTTTCCAAAGCACCCGCATGACCCCTACACCTCGCTAATCTCAATTCACCCCACTAAAGGCGGAGGTTGCGTTATATACCGCGGTACTTTGTCCCCTATTACGCATTTCTTCTAACCATTTCTAAACTGAGATCCCGGTCACCCATCTTCTACCATACTATCGCACCCTGCACCTTGCTAATCCCTACTCTACAATCCTGCCCAAGTCTCTAGAACCACTTCCCGAACGACTAAGTATCTTAAAACACTCTAAGACAGTGACTTTAATAATTATCATATGTCACTCATTCCGGTCACCCATCTTTTTCCGAACCATCACCAAGATCCCTGCACATTAACAATCTTCACTCTACGATCCCGTCCAAGTCTCTAGAACCAAACGACCATGTATCTTAAATCACTGTAAGACATTGATTTTGATTATTAACATATTTTACTCATTCAGGTCACCCATCTTTTTCCAAACCATCCCCACGATCCCTGCACCTTGCTAATCTCTACTCACCCCACTATAGGCGGAGGTTGAGTCATATGCCGTGGGACTTTGTCCCCTATTACGGCGACGCAGTGGTGTGGAAAGAAGCCAACGCGAAAACCGCGTTTGCCTCGCCACCATAGTGATTCGTTGGGACCTGGAATTCAACGAGAACAAAAATATAAAAGGTAGGTTCTTTGACAAGTTTTCGAAAACGAATAACGTACCTATGGGACAATAGGGTATTTGACAAGTTTTAGAAATCGATCTCAAGTTATAGGCTAATGTTTATGAAGTCCGTAAAAAGTGGATATTCATCATTCTGTTGTGTATTTCAGTAAAAATAACCAAATCAAGAACTCCATTTTCAAGTTGCCGCGAAAACGTTTCTCTGGACAATATGGCGTCTTACTAGTAGTAGTGACGTCACACGACTGTTATTAAAACGTCAAACGATACAATGTAATGTCACTTTAACCGGAAGTTTACTTGCGTGTGACGTCATTTTAGGCTCCGCCAATCCCAAGCGTTTTGGGTCACGTGACAATAGATAAGAAAACTATTATCTTTTTCGTGGGTACTATTATGATTTTTTTTTATTAATAATATTAAAAACCCCTGCCAATATTCATTCTAAACACAGATGCTAACAATTAGCACTTTATTTTTAATACTGTCAAATACCGTCCTTTCATTTGGCAAAAGGTTAACAAGGTTTATTCATGGAGTCCATGAAAAGTGGATATTTTTAATTCTGTTTTGTAATTCAGTAAAAAAATTTTTTTTTTTTCAGGTGACCGCTAAAATGTTTCTCTGGAAATTATGGCGTCGCACTAGTGTGTGACGTAAAATAATTGAGAATATATTATAAATTTTATTTACCTGGCATATCGATTATTGAGATCATATCGCCCACTTCAAAGCTGATTTCATCTCGAGCCTGCAAAAAAATGTATAACGATAAACGTCAAAAATGAGTTATCTATACATAGGTATAATAAAATGGTAGGAAAGTCAAAACTGTACATTGAATTTTTTTTGGAACTTGGAGTGTATCTACAATCGATACCGAAGCCAAAATATAGTTTTTAGATTTTTTGTCTGTATGTATGTTCAGGATAAACTCAAAAAGTACTGCATGGATTTACTTCAAATTTGGCACGAATATTATTAAGAAGTCGGGTCAACATAAAGGCTACATATTATCACGCTATCACCTACGGGGAACGAGCAGTGAACCTTTATTTTTAACTAAGTATACGCGTACGAATTCGCGGGCGGCCGCTAGTATATACATATCATTTTAATCAGATTTTTTTCTACACTTAATTTGCTTAGAAGAAATAGAAAAAAAAAATTGTTATTATTGAAATTATCTTTATTACTCAATATTCCTAAGACATTTATAAAACTTTCCGGTACGAATCAATATTTGGTCGCATGTCCTTTGGCAGAAATGACAGCACGACATCTCTTGGGCATGGAAGCGATAATTTTTTTACAAGCTTCCACCGAAATTTGCTTCCAAACTTCTCCAAAAGCTGTGTAAAGTTGATCGATGTTTGATGTCCGTTTTGTCGCCTGTCTTCTTCACCTGGTACCACAAATTTTCTATTGGGTTTAAATCAGGACTGTACGGGGGCCAATCCAAAACTGGCACAGACTGGTTCCTTAAAGTCTTCAATTACTTTTACAGTGTGTTTCGGATCATTAACAAGTAACAACGTCGTGTATGGTTTAATAACAATTAAACTGGATTAAATACCAATTGTAGCTAATGTTAGTACCGTAAGTAAGTTTTTTGTGGTTAATTATTTAATTATGTGACAACCACTGTATGTACAGTATATGTATTCTATTCGTAACCCTAGTATCCCGTTACATAAGCCTTACAGTGCATACTTTGGGGCTAGGCTAATTGGTGTGAGTGTTGGAAATATTTATTTAATACTAGCTGTCCCAGCGAACTTCGTACCGCCATAAAAACAAATAGGGGTTGGTGGTAGAAGGGTGAAAATTTAGGTTTGTATGTATTTATGTATGATGTATTATAAAAAAAAAAAAAACATTATTTTTTTCCATTAAAAGCAAAATTTAAGTGTGGACCACCCTTAACACTTAGGGGGATGAAAAACAGATGTTGTCCGATTCTCAGACCTACTGAATATGCATATAAAATTTCACGGAAATCGGTCGAGCCGTTTCGGAGTAGTTCAATTGAGCACACCGTGACAAGAGAATTTTAAATAATAAATTATTATTATTTACTAATACAAACTTAACTTACATTATAATTAAGTAGTTTGTTATACCACATTACTAACCTGCGAGACGTATTTCCTCACTGAGTATGCAGCGGCTACGGCTGGTGTGTTGATGGAACTGGAGTCTTCGTTGGCCACTAGAAGTTTGTGTCCTGAAGAAAAGAATATCATTATTATTATATTTTTAAGCATTTAAATGACTAGAAGTTTAAATCTAAAAAAAATACTAGAAAATAATTCACGCGGCCTAAGCTGTAGACGGGACTCGAACTCTAACCCTTCACTATCCGGGCGAATGCATCGACCATTATGCTACCGAAGCCCTGATTGCCGTGTCGAATTTTCTCAAGCCTTTCTTAGGCTGCAAGGCAGCGCTATCTATTCGTATTGTAGGAAAGCCACAATGTCAAATGAATACCTTTACAAGTATTAAAAATTTGAAAGAAGAGATATCAATTATAGTTATAATATTATTATTAAGTTTCTTTCTCAAGAACGACGTTACACGCGCGTTATGAGGCTCAAAAAAAGTGCCATTTTTGGAAATGTTGTCAATTTAGGACTAGATATATTCTTCTATGCACCCTAACATCGTAGCTACAGAGCTTATAGTAGCTCTAACTAACTATCCAAAAATGGAAATGTTGTCAATTTAGCACTAGATATATTCTTCTATGCCCCTACTATAGTAGCTACAGAGCTACTATAAACTATCCAAAATGGAAATGTTGTCAATTTAGGATTAGATATATTCTTCTATGCACCTTAATATAGTAGCTACAGAGCTACTATAAACTATCCAAAAATGGAAATCTTGTCAATTTAGGACTAGATATATTCTTCCATGCACCCTCATATAGTAGCTACAGAGCTACTATAAACTATCCAAATATGGAAATGTTGTCAATTTAGGATTAGATATATTCTTCTATGCACCCTAATATAGTAGCTACAGAGCTACTATAAACTATCCAAAAATGGAAATCTTGTCAATTTAGGACTAGATATATTCTTCCATGCACCCTCATATAGTAGCTACAGAGCTACTATAAACTATCCAAATATGGAAATGTTGTCAATTTAGCACTAGATATATTTTTCTATGCACCCTACTATAGTAGCTACAGTGCTACTATAAACTATCCAAAATGGAAATGTTGTCAATTTAGGATTAGATATATTCTTCTATGCACCTTAATATAGTAGCTACAGAGCTACTATAAACTATCCAAAAATGGAAATCTTGTCAATTTAGGACTAGGTATATTCTTCCATGCACCCTCATATAGTAGCTACAGAGCTACTATAAACTATCCAAATATGGAAATGTTGTCAATTTAGCACTAGATATATTTTTCTATGCACCCTACTATAGTAGCTACAGTGCTACTATAAACTATCCAAAATGGAAATGTTGTCAATTTAGGATTAGATATATTCTTCTATGCACCCTAATATAGTAGCTACAGAGCTACTATAAACTATCCAAATATGGAAATCTTGTCAATTTAGGACTAGGTATATTCTTCCATGCACCCTCATATAGTAGCTACAGAGCTACTATAAACTATCCAAATATGGAAATGTTGTCAATTTAGCACTAGATATATTTTTCTATGCACCCTACTATAGTAGCTACAGAGCCACTATAAACTATCCAAAATGGAAATGTTGTCAATTTAGGATTAGATATATTCTTCTATGCACCCTAATATAGTAGCTACAGAGCTACTATAAACTATCCAAAAATGGAAATCTTGTCAATTTAGGACTAGATATATTCTTCTATGCACCCTCATATAGTAGCTACAGAGCTACAATAAACTATCCAAAAATGGAAATGTTGTCAATTTAGGACTAGATATATTCTTCCATGCACCCTCATATAGTAGCTACAGAGCTACTATAAACTATCCAAATATGGAAATGTTGTCAATTTAGCACTAGATATATTCTTCTATGCACCTTACTATAGTAGCTACAGAGCTACTATAAACTATCCAAATATGGAAATGTTGTCAATTTAGCACTAGATATATTCTTCTATGCACCCTAATATAGTAGCTACAGAGCTACAATAAACTATCCAAAAATGGAAATGTTGTCAATTTAGGACTAGATATATTCTTCCATGCACCCTCATATAGTAGCTACAGAGCTACTATAAACTATCCAAATATGGAAATGTTGTCAATTTAGCACTAGATATATTCTTCTATGCACCTTACTATAGTAGCTACAGAGCTACTATAAACTATCCAAAAATGGAAATGTTGTCAATTTAGGACTAGATATATTCTTCTATGCACCCTCACATAGCAGCTACAGAGCTACTATAAACTATCCAAAAATGGAAATGTTGTCAATTTAGGATTAGATATATTCTTCTATGCATCCTAATTTAGTAGCTACAGAGGCGAAATTAAGAAGCTTACTCAAAATTATTTTAATTATACTATCATGTAGAAAATGACAATAAAATGATACACATAAATGACATATACAATTATACACAGAAACATACATACGTAAATATTAGTTAACTTGACATTAAAAGACAACTTACTTTTTTACTAGTTGCCCGCCTATTAATTTATTTGTTTACATAGATGTAATGAATTTTATCTTCACTTATAGAATACCTTTATAAATGAACTATAGTGACATTCACAAGTGACTGACAGTACCTAACTCTTTCAATCTATACTAACATAGAGAATGTAACTCCTCTCTTCTATCTCTCATTTAGTTGCATGCCCGACAGGGTCCATAATGATCGTATTTTGTCATAACTTATATTCAACATCTTTTTGTACATTGTGGATATGCAATAAACGAATTGAATTAAATTATTTGCCAAAGTTTCATACCTTTGTTATCCATCTGCAGCCAATTCAGCACCGGTCCGCAAGTCAAGGCATCATCAGCGATGATGGAGAGGTGATGGACGTAGTCTGCCACCAGACGCCACCAGCTGGTCGGTTCCATGGGGTTTGGTGCTTCTTTGAGGTTCGGCAGACCGGAGACTTTGCGATCGTAGATGCATCTGGATGAGTGGGAGAGAGAAATCACACTAATTTTATAAAGGCGAAAGGTTGTGTGTGTGGGTGTGTATGTTTGTTACTTTGTAGGAAGGCCAAAGGGGAAGATAACGATGCGCGACTTCGAATAATACTAATACTAATCATTCGACTCCACGAATCATTCGACCAAGTCGACTGCGCTTTATATCATTCGACTGGAGTCGAAGGTATCGGGCGGCGACTAACCGACTCTCGATCGACTCGGGTCGACTCGGGCTTGGTCGGGCGAACTCGACGAGTGAAAGAGATAAGCAGAGTCAATAGGGTCAACTCTACTCTAACTCTTTATATTAAAAATATATATAAATCAAGTAATAATAAACAAATTCACTGGTAAATACAGTTTTCACTGCAAAAAAAAAATTACCTTATAACAGATACAAGACTATCGTAGCAGGCGCCAAGTACGAACGTACGGAAATTAACTGAACTAAGGCAAATGATGAACGAACGTATGAATAAACTAAGCTTATTCGTTGCGCTCTTGTAAATTTGACATTAGTATTACTAATTAGTAGTCGTTATTCGAATAATGACATTAGTATACTACTAATTTGCCTTTCGAATAGCCAAATTAGTAGTTACGAATTAGTCGAAAGGTAAAATCATTCGTAGTCGCGCATCGCTAGGGGAAGATCTTCCTCCGAGCTGAGTGATGGTAGCTCAGGGGCCGCGGCCCGACTGATATTGGTCGGGCATCGTATATATGAAGAGTTAGCCTCCGAATTTCATTTGCGCGATGTAGGCTTCCATACTATTATGATCGCAGTGCAAGTAACGCCATCTCTTGAGGATGGTGAGTAATGATTTCCTCCATCCGTTGTATATATGTGGGGCGTATAGTTGTCGCCGCCACGACTTCTTCAACGTGAAGAAGTTGTGGCGGCGACAACTATACGCCCGAACGAACAAGAAAGGTTCTTAATAATTTAACTACCCCAGCAGAACAGACATGATGATTTTGCAGCTTCTGACGTCATATACCTTCAGAATGTGATGAATTTGATCAGGCTGATGATGAAGACTCCTCAATCTATCTATGCAACATATCGTCCAGTTGTATCATATGCCGTTTACTTCGGGTCAGGGTCCATTCGCTAACGTCCACGGCTTCGGTCCAGCTGGCTCAACTCGATGTCATTAGAAAGTACTACGAAAAGCCTACATCGCGCTTACGAAATTCGCGTGGTGAGTCATGGCCCAGTCTCCCTATTGCATCCATAGGAAAGGCCCTGTGCCCCAGCAGTGGGAACATCAATACGTTGAAGATGATGACGAATTTCTACCTATCTATTTCCATGCCATGTCCAAACTTAGTAGCCTAGCAGGTGATTTTGCAACTTCTGACGTCACTTACCTTCAGAACGCTATCGAGATGATCAGGTTGATGATTGATTCCTATATTATATTGTTAGTACGATTCTATAATAAGTACTTTTTCCAGTACTTCCATTGACGTAGCATATTTAAATACCTGTGCAACATATCGTCTAGTTGTATCATATGCCGTTTACTCCGGGTCAGGGTCCATTCGCTAACGTCCACGGCTTCGGTCCAGCTGACACTGAGCTGCCTCGACTCGGTCGCGTTAGGAATACTATGGAAAGTCTACATCGCGCTTACGAAATTTGGAGCGGACATCATATATACCCGCCCGTAGGGATCTTTCTTTCAGGGCTAGGCCTTCCTACTTGGACATACATATTTTCATGCCGTATCCATTAGACAACTGGTGCTTTGCTTTGGGCACTGTTGTCCATAGTACTCTAGCAAAAGGTGATTCTGCAGCTTCTGCCCTCAAATTTTTCGCATACTGAAGGTAGGTCCTTCAGAATGCGATCAATTTGATCAGGCTGATGATAAAGACTCCTATAATATCTATCTATCTATATACATATCTGTGCAACATATCGTCCAGTTGTATCATATGCCGTTTGCTCCGGGCCAAGGTCCAATTAGCTCACGTCCACAGCTTCGGTCCAGCTGACACTGAGCTGCCTCGACTCGGCCGCGTTAGGAATACTATGGAAAGCCTACATCGCGCTTACGAAATATGGAGCGGACACAATATATACCCGCCTGTAGGGATCTTTCCTTCAGGGCTAGGCCTTCCTACTTGGACATACATATTTTCATGCCATATCCATTAGATAACTGTTGATTTTGCTTTGGGACTGTTGTCCATAGTAGTCTAGCAGAAGGTGATTCTGCAGCTTCTGCCCTCAAATCGTTCGCATACTGAAGGTAGGTCCTCCGGAATGCAATCAATTTGATCAGGCTGATGATGAAGACTCCTATAATATCTATCTATCTATATACATACCTGTGCAACATATCGTCCAGTTGTATCATATGCCGTTTGCTTCGCGTCAGGGTCCATTCGCTCACGTCCACGGCTTCGGTCCAGCTGGCGCTGAGCTGCCTCAGTTCAGCAGCATCTTGTATAGAGGAGTTCACGTGGGAACGGACCCGGAGGCAAACCCAGCCTGGTGGACAATGGAAACATTATTAATGAATGATGTTAATTTAACTGCTAGATATTAAAAAAAAAGTTTTTTTTACTAGAAGAAATTCCACGCGGACCAACAAGCAGGCGGAGGGTTCGGGTTCGCTCGCATAAAATTTTTTTTGGTAAAATTTTCTTTAATTTGCACCAAAAAAGTTAAAGAGGACAAGTAAAAAAGACTATTCCATTCTAGGAACTAGCCAGCGATAAAGTGAAATATAATTTAATGTATCCAAGTGTAGTTTAATGAAACGAAGTGTAATGTAGTGTAATAAAGTGAAAGGTAATGTAATGTAGTCGTATAATGAAGTGTAGTGTATCTAATATGCTGTGGTATCTTAAAGTGTAAAATATAATAACTTAAATGTTACATCATAATGAAAGTAAAATGAAGCCTTATCAACTTATTTTTTTTCTCTTTTACTTTTAGGCTTTTATTTACTTCACCGCGTAATATCTCTGCTTAGCCGGATGGGTGACTGGTAGAGAATGCCATGTGTTATTAAGTCCGACATTTGTTGTAAAATAATAAAGAGGAAATAAATAAATAGTTTAGCCACATTACCTTCGTCAGGATCTGCGTCTTTCTCCTCACAAGGCAACGCTTCTACACTGAGCCCGCCTAGAGACACCCTTTCGTAGTGAAAATGTGCGCACTCTTCTAACTTTGGGAAACGGCAACTTGGCACGGGGGGTGCAGGCTGTAAGAAAGCATAATAGTCCAATTCAACATCATCATCAGCCTATTAATGTCCTCACTGCTGGGGCACAGGCCTTCCCTATGGATGGAATAGGGAGATTGGGCCATAACCCACCACGCGGGCCCAATGCGGATTGGCGGGTGCTAAAGCCGGTACCAATGGCTTAACGTGCCTTTCGAAGCAAGGAGGGACTCGAGATATAAGATTTTTGGTCACCCATCCAATGACCGACCACTGCGAAAGTTGCTCACTACAACGATCGCAACCGAACGCGCTAACCACCCGCGCCATCGAGCTCCTCCAATTGTAATATATTAAATAAATATGTATTTCCTATGCCGGCACTTTACTTGGCTATTCGTATTTGCTATTTGTCATTTTGACAGCAGGCTGTCCTTGTCATGCTCTATAGGGAATGAAAAGGAGAGACTGTTGTCATGTTTACAAATAGCAAAAAGAAATAACTATCTGAAATCCCGGAATTACTTAACCACGTAAAAACGGCTGAGCGGGTTTGGATAAAATTGGATTATTTTGGGTTTTCTCCTGAAATCAACTTGGGTAAAACCATGAGGAACAGCAAGTTGTGATGATGTACAAGGGGTCGCCCACGACTTCATCCAAGTAAAAGATTTCTTTTCCGGGTTTATATATAGCCTATGACACTCATAAATAAATAAATAAATATTTCGGACACTCACACCAATTAGCCTAGCCCCAAAGTAAGCACTATAAGGCTTGTGTTATGGGATGCTAGGGTAACGGATAGAATACATATACTGTACATATATAAGTATATTTATATAAATACATATTAAACATCCATGACTGGAGTACAAATGCTCGTATTCATCACACAAACATCTGCCCCCACCGGGATTCGAACCCGGGACCTCTCGAGTCGGCGACAGCCATGAAACCCGGCATACAAACCACTCGGCCAGGAGGTCTTCATCAAATAACATGGCTTTTTTTCAAAATCGGTTCAGTAGATCCAGGAATTACCCCCTACAACCTCACATAGTTTACCTTTTTTGAATGTTAATATAGATGAGAACTTATTATGTATGTGTAAGTTTATATATTATTATTTTTATAAACTTTATTTCAATGTGATTTCCACTTCAGTTGTGCACCCTACCACTAATAATCTCCACAACATCCTATGTTTGACTGGTAGAGAATGCCTACGGCATTAAATCCGCCATTGTACATTTGTGCATAAAGAATAAATAAAATAAAATAAAAATAAGTAGTTATACTTACAGTGTCATCCATGTCGAATGTGGCTGAAGCGGGCGGCGCCGATTGGCTCATGGCAGACGCCTGTGACGTCACTGGTGTCATTGTCAAGGCCGTCAGCGATATCGAACCTTAAACACATGAGCATAAGCGTCATATTAGCGTCAATGCAGTTGCAGTGACGTCACTGGTGTCTTGCTCAAGGCCGTCAGCGACATCGAGCCTTATAAACGCAGGAAAATAAGGGTCATATTAGCGTCAATACACTTGCTGTGACGTCACTGGAGTCTTGCTCAAAGTGGTCAGCGATATCGCGCCTTAAATACACGGAAATAAGGGCCATATTAGCGGCAATACACTTGCTGTGACATCACTGGGGTCATACTCAACGCCGTCGGCGATATCGAGCCTTAAACACATGGAAATAAGGGCCATATTACACACAGTGATATTGAGCCTTTAACAAACGAGAATAAGCATCATATTAGTGTATTGCTACTTGTTGTGACATCACTGTTGTCATGCTCAAAACGTTCAGCGATATCGCGCCTTTAACACAGGGGTATAAGGAGCATATTAGCGGCAATACACTTGTTGTGACGTCACTGGTGTCATTGTCAAGGCCGTCAGCGATATCGAACCTTAAACACATGAGCATAAGCGTCATATTAGCGTCAATGCAGTTGCAGTGACGTCACTTGTGTCATGCTCAAGGCCGTCGGCGATATCGGGCCTTAAACACGGTGTGATAAGGGTCATATTAGCGTCAATACACTTGCTGTGACGTCACGGGGGTCATACTCAACGCCGTCGGCGATATCGAGCCTTAAAGACACGGAGATAAGGGTCATACAAGCCTCGATACACTTGTTCTGACGTCATTGGTGTCATGCTCAAGGCAGTCAGTAATATCGAGCATTAAACAAACGAGGATAAGGGTCATTTATGAAAATTTATTTTTATTTTCTAAAATTTTAAATTGGGCCAAATGTTCGCATATTGTTTGGGTCGAGTCCGTAATAAGTCCTCGGCGGACATTTTCTTCACTAACTTTTATCCTATAGATTCAGAAGACCTTAGTCTGCACAGGCCTCGATCGGGATACCTTTAGACACTACACTCCTTCCTGGAAGCCTTTTACTTGAAATTTGGTTAGGATATTTTTCCTTTAATTTATGATTTGGACCACGGAAGGAGTTCATCATCATAAAAACAATAAATAAATAAAAAATGGAGCAAACGCCTTCCTTATGGATGCAATAGAGAGAACAGGGGGCCAATTGCCTAACGGAAATGCTTTGGGAAACGCTAACGCTTACGATTTTATATTGTTATTTCTAGCCGCCTGAGGTTTTCGAATACCTCACGCTCATTTTTTTTAATGTTGTTATTACCAATGCAAAAGAAAAAGAAAGAGCGCGAGGCATTTGAATACCTCAGGCGGCTAGAAATAACAAAATAAAATCGTAAGCGTTAGCGTTTTCCAAAGCATTTCCGTTAGGCGATTGGCCCCCTGGTCATGCACAAATCCCACAAAAAATTAAAAAGGTTTCCCGCGCTTTTTCATTCTGAATAATAGATGAAATAAAACAAAACTGTGTCCAAGGCGAAATAAAAAGGATTTATTCGTTCTCAATGACTTATATATTATATGAAACTGTGACGGGAAAATTTAGCTCATTCCATATCGGTACAACGCCATCTAGTGGCAGATGTTATAAGTATTATACATACATGTTTTTCAATGCTTATTTGTACAGGTCATAACATAATCCACAACGCTTGTCCATGGCGGTTTGGAGAGTGCGAGCGATTGCAGATGCAACCGGGACCAACGGTTTAACGTGCCTTCCGAAGCAATAATTTTTGATCACCCTTCCCATTTGAGAAAGTCGCTAAACTTCCACAATCTCAGAACAAATGCGCTAAACACTTACCATGCCATGGTACATGCAAATACAAATCTGTACATAGTTTAACCACAAAATAAGTGTACAGAAGGTAATCTTATGTATGTATTTCACTTTTCCATACCTACGCGCTAGGATTGTCAACTTTGGCTTGTGCACAAAAAATGTGGTAGTGGCTCTCGTACGTATATAGTTGTTGGATTTATTGTTGACAATGAAACGGAAATAATCAAATATAAAAAAACGGCGATTACGGTTTAATGTTAAATTCAAGCAACTGAACAATTACAATAATTACTTTTTTTTGTTACTCCATATTTGCACAATAAATTGCAAAGATGTTTATATTGAGAAGCTCGATGGCGCAAGAGGTTAGAGCGTTTGGCTGCGATCGTTGAAGTTAAGCAACTTTCGCAGTGGTCGGTCATTGCATGGGTGAGTTCCACGCACGCACGGAGGACCGTGATTCGGAAGGGACGTTAAGCCGTTGATCCTGGCTGCATTAGCAGTCGATAGCACGCAATCCGCACTGGGCTCGCGTGGTGGGTCATGGCCCAATCTCCTTATTTCATCCATAGCGAAGGCCTGCCCCATCAGTGGGGGCATTAATAGACTGATGATGATAAAAGTTCAAAGATGGATGCCTCAAGCGGTTCGAACTCGCGCTGGCACAGTCCCCCAGCGGTCGGAGAGCGGTGTCTATGTGTGCGTTGCTCAAGCGCATTTTGTATGTAGTGCAATGGAGATTTTGGGGGGCGTGTGATAGTATGAAAATAATTTAATAAATATGTACTTAAATACAACGCAACATTGAATGACACGAAAGTAGGCCACGTGAAATGCTGATGTTTTGTAATAATATTGTGTGTTATATTTTATAAGTGTGTGTGAGTGTGTAACTACTTAGTGCACTAATATTATTAATAACTATGTTTTGTATCATTAAGTCTTCTTCAATAAATGGACAGCAACTTATCTACGTCTTTGTATTTATTGTAACCTGCCGCCACCCAACATACCACAGTGGATTACCTTCTGTTCTATCTTATTTGTGGTTTAACATTTCCTGTATTGTGTATAAACTACTCACCAGGCGTTTCCCGTTTGCACTCATTGTCTGTGGACGCTCTTGTCGAGCTCCGGGACTCCGAGCTGAAGCGAACGGATCTGTGAACAGAAATGAATTGATATATTACTTTGTATTTAAATCTTCAACTGCTAGATTTCAAGAACTAAACAATGAGTTAGGGTACAGCGGATTTGACGCTCCAATTGGAGCGCCTTACTGGTGAAGTAAACCTCCAGCTTACAGAAGAACACAGTCAAATAAAACTACTACTATGGGTGTAGGCAACCTCGCGTGTAATAGCTTTGGTACCGCAAGTATCTATCAGCAAGAACAAATTTTGATCCAACCCCATATAATCATAATCAAAATCATTTATTCAGTTTAGGCTGTTACAAGCACTCATGAATGTCTAGAAGCTACGCCATCGGTTCGTAAATCTACGGCGGGAGACCTTGTACTGAGAAGAACCGTCAAGAAACTCACCAAGGGCTGTTTTTTCTCCCTGTTTTATTATTTACAGAGTCGTCAAATTGAAAAATGACTTCAGAGATGATTCATGAAGTCACCTTTCATTACAAAATGATTAAATATACATTAATTGTTTACCTGCATTTTGATTGCTGTGTCATAGAGTATAAATACAAATAGTGTTATTTATATTAAGTGTGACTAAACATCAACTTCAATATTAAGGAAATTAGGGCAGACTCACCTCCGCTGGCAGCACCCGTTCACGAGTATGACGCATGAACCAGCCATCGCTTTGCTCAACCATATTTTAGGGAACGTAATGACCCGCCTCACACGACACCGCCGAAGAGACTATTAAGAGAGCATGTCTACCCATAACTACCCATACTAACTACAACATATTTACTTAAATTAAGGTCATTTACCTGTAGGACACCGCAAACAATTACAAAAACAAAGCAATGGAGATATCAGAATCGGAATAGGCTAACATCCTTTACTATTCGGTAGAATGCACTGACCGTTATTCTAAAGAGACCTTAATGGCCTGCGCAGACGAGGGACTTCACAAAAAAGACATTTTCTTCACGATTCAGGGACTTTTGTCCCTGACATTTGACGCGTATCGAGATCGAATTCAACTATTCGAATCCTATATTGGTTCGTGCTAAGGGTACTGATTATTATTACTGGTGAAATTTTATTTGGGTGGTTGGTTAGGTTAGGTTAGGTCTGTCTAACTGGTCGTCTAGCTAAATCGTTGCTGTTTTTTATTAATAAATAAATTATAAATATTTCCAACACTCACACCAATTAGCCTAGCCCCAAAGTAAGCACTGTAAGTCTTGTGTTATGGGATGTACAGATATATTAGTATATTTATATAGAAATACATATTAAACATCCATGACTGCAGTACAAATGCTCGTATTCATCACACAAACATCTGCCCCCACCGGGATTCGGACCCGGGTTCTCACGAGTTGGCGACACCATGAAACCCGGCGTACCAAACACTCGGCCACGGGGGTCGTCAAAGTCTGGCTTACAAGATGCTCTGATTAAAGGTAGTTTTCAATTCACCCGTTCCCTACCCTCGCTTGAACATATATGTCATTTATAGATCATGGTTTCCCCAAGAACAGAGTCCCTATAAACAGCTAGCATTTCTTGTAAAATAATTTGGACTTGTTTACATGCTACGTGTGGGACTTTATGGCGAAGCGATGTAATATTTTCTCTGTAGTAATCGATTTCTTTCCGATTGCCTTGCTGCCTTGATAATAACTTGAAAGCTATTTAATCGATAAGGCTGGAATCACAGAACACAGTGGTAAGAAGGTAAGAAGGGCCTTGTGGGGGACAGGCGCGCCACAGTTATGTGTGATCAAATGCTTATAACTTGACCAAAACTTGGTTCTGATTGCGTCGTTGCTCTCGGGTGTGAGTGCTGATTGGGGCGATTGTTTGATGTCGCGTCGTTTGATTGGCTAATATCTATAAGGTGGCAGTGTAGCGCGCCGGCATCAGCGGTTCCCGTACAAACGGTCTATAAGCATCCTTCGAACCTCTTTCTGTGTTCTGTGGCTGGAATCAATTTCTTGTTTGTAAAAGATTATAGTGCGTTTGACAACAATAGCATCTAATGTTAAGCAACGATAATTGATTGTGATCATAATTCTGACGACGCAGCCTGAAAAGGTTGCGAAACGTCATAAACAACTAAATCAGTGCATCTATACCATTGAAACTTGTTTTATTTAACGATGTGATCTAAGCTGGAGCACGCAACCTCAAATAATGCCCATTTCTCTTGCCTTGAGGGTCCCTATATTATATGAATCGGGGAATAAAGACGCAGGAAGGGAATTCCATTTCCTTGCGGTTTGCATGATAAAGGAGGATGCGAATCGTTAGGTACCCAGGGGAGGTATATCAACCACGTACAAAGACCCTGTCCACGTCTCGGCGTCCGACGGTAAAAAAAATTGTTTTTGTTAGCAAGAATTTTTGACCTCTTGTCATATACTAGTGCTTACTGACCTTTTTACTAATGGAGAAACATTTAAAAAGTGGTGCAGTTTGTCCTGCTGTCCTACTCTGGCTAACAACAACATGGTGCAGTGCGTCATGTTGTCCTTGTCTGGCTAATAAGAACATACCTATGAAAGGTGGTGCAGTGTGTCATGCTGTCCTACTCTGGCTAACAACAACATACCTATGAATGGTGGTGCAGTGTGTCATGCTGTCCTACTCTGGCTAACAACAACATACCTATGAATGGTGGTGCAGTGTGTCATGCTGTCCTACTCTGGCTAACAACAACATACCTATGAATCCTCTTCCCTCTGGGTGGCGTTTGAGAGTGGTCGTGTGTCTGGTTACTGTGCAATAAATATTTTAAGAGTAATAATAAATAGTGAGAGGTCCATTTGGGGCTTCGGACCAGTGTCTGTGATTCGAACTTGCGCCCCTCGGGCTCCAACTGTGTCGCGTTGTTGAGTTGCCGTCTCGGCCAAGAAGTTATTAATATAAGCGGCAAAAATAAACACCCGATACGGAGCTGTGCTACGAAGCTGCAACTACGGCGGACTACGACGTACTACGACGTGTACTTGAGTGCTACGATTTCTTTGAGGCGTTACAAACCAAACATACGAAAGTACCAACATGAGTGTGAACCGGAATGATAATATGGTTGACTCAGAGATGTCAGTTTGTCTCTCTGATGATGATAAAACACCGCCTAGTTTCATCACACGGCGTGTACAAAAGACAACACATCATTCGGACAGCTCACAATACGATCAGTTAATGAAAAATCATAAAGAAGAAATACGTATTATGTTGGAAACACTTGCAACAAAGCAAGCAAAGGAACTTAGTGAGCTTAACTCGACACTTAGGGAGGTCCGTCAATCAAATCAGAATATTGAAAGTTCACTCACACTTTTAACCGCTCAAAATGATGAGTTTAAAAAACAAATTCTATCGCTACAAAATCATGTAAAGGAAGACAGAGAGTACATAATGTTCTTGGAGAATAAGTTGGAGGAACTGCAGGTTTCATCACGGAAATCAACATTCGAGATGAAAAATGTACCTAGAAAGGAAAAAGAATCTAAAAAAGATTTGATTGAAATGGTTATAAATCTGTCGGAAGCTGTGGACTGTAAAATTTCTAGAAGCGATATAAACGACATATACAGGGTGCGTGCAAAGAAGCCAGAGCAGAAAAATACCCCAATCATAGTGGACACCAACTCTGCTTTGTTGAAAAATGACCTACTGAAAATGGCGAAGTCTTTTAACATCAAGAATAAAACAAAATTATTCGCTAAGCATCTTGGCCTAAAAACAAATGAGGACACGCCAATATTTCTTTCTGAACACTTGACACCCAAAGGATCGCGGTTGTACTTTTTAGCAAGAGACCTAGCAAAATCCAAAGAATTTAAGTTCTGTTGGACCTCATACGGGAAGGTATATTTACGGAAGAATGAACAGGCTCCAGTAATCCTGATTAAGGCAGAGGATCAAATTCATCAATTACTTCAGGAAAAATGACTATCTTTAAGTATTCATGTTTTTATGTATTATCTTTATTGCTTGATTTTTGAGAAAATAATGTTAAAGCCAATCTATTTTCTAATGAGTTTACGTAGAATTTGCATGTTTTTGTCACATTTGATAGTAATTTTATATTATAACTTTTACTATTTGATTAAATATTTAAATGTAAGCCACTCACACATCAACACACATACTCGTACTAGCTATACACACAAACTCATATACAACTTACTCTTTATCTCGCTTGTAGTAAAATCAACAATCGTTTATTTAAAATATAATGTATACTCGGAGGACCTCATTCTTTTTACTCAAATTTATATACAGATATTTGGAATTAAATATGTGAAACACAGTTCAGTATTTATAACTCGACGCAAAGTAAAAATATTCCATTTAACAAAAATATTATTTGCCATATGCTTGTTTCGTAGAAAAATTACGGCTATTGCTTTACTTTTATATTTAAATGGGTGATACAATAAATACATTACAAGAGATAGACGGCTTAGAAATGGCACGATCATTTGAGTGTGACATTATGGAGCTAGAGAAACATGTTCTTGTCAAAAAGAATGACTTTACCATGATTTCTCAAAATATTAGGAGTATATACCGTAACTTTGACGATTTCTTGTTAACGTTGCATAGCCTTAAATTTGATACAGATGTTATTGTTTTCACAGAATGTAGAATATCCACAAACAAGCCCTTACCGGTGTTACCAAACTACTGTTCCTATTTAACAGAATGTCGACTGAATCAAAACGATGGAGTTGTAGTCTATGTGAAAAATACTATAAAGCATAAAATAAAAGAGATACGTTTAACTCATGCATCATGTTTACAGCTCGACATCCTAAATAACACGATTCTATGTATCTATAGATCTCCATCAAATCTAAATGCGGATTCTTTCATAAATTCTCTGGGTGTACACTTAGATACACTTGGTGCTACTAAGAGCATTATAATCACGGGTGACATCAATATAAATATTGCTCTTAAGCCTGCAGAGCCATGTCATGAACAAAAAAACCGCACTAGTTACCTAGATATGATGGCTAATTATGGTTTACTGGCTGGCCATACAATACCTACTAGGGAAAAAAATTGCTTAGATCATCTAATGTTAAACATAAACAAAGTTAAATTTCATGCATCTATAGCAATTTTACAGACTACTACTACTGACCATTTTACAACACTACTTGTGCTCTCTAAAATTAAATTACAGTATCAATCAAATAAAACTAAGATCTCTATAAGTTTCGATGATGCTCTTAACAATCTAAAAAACAAAAATATGGAAGAGTTATTATTATGCAATGATCCTACGATTGTAATCGATCGTTTGATATATATACTAACACAGACATTAGATGAAAACACCAGAATAATTACTGTTCCCAATAAATCACGAATATTAAAGCCTTGGATCACGCCAGGTATGTTAAGGTGCATAAGAAACCGGAACAAGCTCCAAAAACTTGCACGCCGTGATCCACTCAATAATATAAATAAAATAATTTATCGGAGGTACAGAAACTACTGCAACAACTTACTAAAAAAATTGAAAAGGAACTATGAAAGAGAATTATTAGCAAAAACGGTTAAAAACAACAAACAGTTATGGAAAACGATTAAGAAAATAACTTACAACGATAAATGCAATAGTTTGAATACAGAACTCTTGAATATTTCTACTAACCCAATAACTTCCGCCGACTATGTAAATAATTATTTTGCAAACATAGGTAAAAAATTAGCCACGCAGATAAAACCTATAGTAACAAACCAAACCGATACTTACCCGCTTAACTTACCATCTTACCTAGACTCTTTTGCCTTAATGCCCGCTGATTATGATGAGGTTAATGGTATACTAATGAATTTGAAATCAAAAAGTGCTCCAGGTTGGGACAATATACCAACTGGTTTTCTCAAATATGTTAAAACTGAAGTCATTCCCATTATAACTCATCTCGCAAATCTTTGTTTTGAAACAGGAATATTCCCAGATCCTTTAAAAAAGTCTATTATCACACCTGTGTATAAGGCTGGAGACAGAGACGACGTAAACAACTATAGACCCATATCTGTGCTACCAGTGATCTCCAAAATATTAGAAAAACTGTTGAACTCAAGACTGACTGGGTATTTAAACAAAAATAATATCATATCTCCATCCCAATATGGTTTTAGACAGGGCAAATCCACTGAGGATGCTGTTATTGCACTAAGCTCGCTGGTAGCTAAAGAAATGGATGAACATAACCGGTGTATTACTGTTTTTCTGGACTTAAAGAAAGCGTTTGACACCGTCTCTGTCCCTATCCTTATACACAAGTTAGAAAAAATTGGTATAAGAGGAATGCCTTTAAAACTCTTTACAGACTATCTGACAAATAGGCAACAGGTAGTCAAGCTTGGTGTTTATACCAGTGAGAGTACGGAGGTGTACTACGGAGTTCCGCAGGGCAGTGTCCTTGGCCCCACGCTTTTCTTAATTTATCTAAACGACCTGTGTAATATGACAATTAAGGGTGCCAAGGTATTTTGCTATGCGGATGACACTGCCATTGTTTTCGCTGGTAAATGCTGGGATGAAGTTAAGCTAGTTGCTGAAGCAGGATTGGTAAAAGTTGGGAAGTGGCTACAAAGCAATCTCCTTACTCTTAATATTGCCAAATGTAACTATGTATGCTTCAGCATCTACAATAACAGTCAGCCTGGTGTTGACTTTGAACTGAGGATTCATCGATGTTCCCCTACATCATCGGCGAATTGCCGCTGTCCCCTCATTCAAAAAGTAGCACAGACTAAATACCTGGGAGTCCTACTTGATCAGCGGCTCTCTTGGTGTCCACAACTTGAATATGTAATTCAAAGAATTAGAAAGTTAATGTGGATTTTTAAGATCTTGAGACATGTTGTGCCAATATCAGAATTAGGATCTACAGACAAAAACTTGTTAAAGGATATTTATATATCCTTAGCACAATCAGTTATTACGTACTGCATACCCGTTTGGGGAGGTGCTGTAAAAACTAGCTTCCTTGAAGTCGAAAGGGCCCAGCGAAGTCTGATAAAGATTATGATGTTCAAAAAGCAAAGGTTCCCGACTGAAGATCTATATCGAAACAGTGGCCTGCCTACAGTAAGAAAACTGTATATACTGCACACAGTCCTTAAAAAGCATAAAACGTTAATATATAACTCTACAAACGCAGCAAACCGGAGGCAAAGGATCGACTTAAAAAAATGCAATACTACTTTTGCTACGAGGCAGTATGGCGCACGTTCAGCTGAATTGTATAATAATTTAAATAAAAAGCTTAAAATATACAATAAAAATTATTATACTTGTAAGTGTTCAATAACAGAGTGGCTGCAAGCAAAAACCTATCAAGAAATCGAAATGTTACTTGAGAAGGTTAAATAACTAAAGAGTGAAAAAGAGTTAAAATGAGGCTCACATCTTAACACACATACACACACGCCCACACATATACCCACGCACGCACATATACACACGCACGCACATCTATACACGCACGCACACACACACAAACACACGCACGCGCACACATATACACATGCACGCACGCACACATACACCGGCTACATGAACATTATTAAATATTGTTTAATTAGAAAATAAAAATAAACTACTTATGGAAGAGCGGCGTCCCCTGACACAGGCTTTTTAGCTTAACAGAGGACCCCGATCACTGAAAATTTTTGTACAAAAATTGTTAAGAAGAAATAAAGATTATTATTATTATTAGATTATTATATGAATGGTGGTGCAGTGTGTCATGCTGTCCTACTCTGGCTAGCAACAATATACGTATGAAAGGTGGTTCAGTGTATCATGCTGTCCTACTCTGGCTAGCAAACAACATACCTATGGAAGGTGGTGCAGTGCGTCACGCTGTCCTACTCTGGCTAGCAACAACATATCTATGGAAAGTCGTGCAGTGTGTCATGCTGTCCTACTCTGGCTAGCAACAACATACCTATGGAAAGTCGTGCAGTGTGTCATGCTGCCCTACTCTGGCTAGCAACAACATACCTATGGAAGGTGGTGCAGTGCGTCACGCTGTCCTACTCTGGCTAGCAACAACATATCTATGGAAAGTCGTGCAGTGTGTCATGCTGTCCTACTCTGGCTAGCAACAACATACCTATGGAAAGTCGTGCAGTGTGTCATGCTGTCCTACTCTGGCTAGCAACAACATACCTATGGAAGGTGGTGCAGTGCGTCACGCTGTCCTACTCTGGCTAGCAACAACATATCTATGGAAAGTCGTGCAGTGTGTCATGCTGTCCTACTCTGGCTAGCAACAACATACCTATGGAAAGTCGTGCAGTGTGTCATGCTGTCCTACTCTGGCTAGCAACAACATACCTATGAATGGTGGTGCAGTGTGTCATGCTGTCATTCTCTTGACTAACATAAGCATTCCTATGAATGGTGGTGCAGCGTGTTATGCTGTCCTTGTCTGGCAAATAAAAACATACCTGTGAAGGTAGTGCAGTGTGCCATGTTGTCCTTGTCTGGACAACAAGATACCTATAAAGGGTGGTTCAATGTGTCAAACTGTCCTACTCTGGCTAGCAACAACATACCTATGAAAGGTGGTGCAGTGTGTCATGCTGTCTTTCTCTGGCTCGGCGAAGGCGCGCGCCGCGAGCGACTGGCAAGACATCACGGAGCCGTGAGGGGAGCCCTGATGACAAAGCACAACATTCTCAATAAATAGTAATACATACGGATAAAACAATATCTGACGACGAAACAGACAACATTCTGAATATATTTAAGTAAAAGCAGGTGTCAATGTGTCGGAGCCAGTTGCGAATCGGGTGCCACAATCACACCCGCACTGCCGGAATGCATTGGGGGGACCTCGGTTCTCCGCACGCATGCCGGGTGACCGATGCAGGATTATTGTCTGATTTATACATTTTAAAAATATACTACATGATTTTCTTTTACTTAAATCCTAGTCTGCTGTATCTATAAATATTAATATTGCATAATATGTTTATTTGTGTAGGTATATATTAGTGATGTAACGAATGTAATTTTTTGAACATTCGCGAATGCGAATGTCTGGTACCGACATTCGCGAATGCGAATGCGAATATTTAGTTTTTTTTAAATTGGCGCCAATTGTCTATGGCATTGTGGCAGTCTCGTTCGAATTACCGAGTTGATATGAGCTCATCCGACTGAAGTGTCATTCCGCTCGCACCGGTCTTTCCGTAAACAAAACAAGTGATTTTTGAGGTTAGTGATTATGAGTGGTAATAGTGATTTATTAACATGAGTAAATCGAATTCTAGTGAAACATGGACTTATTTCACACTTTGCTATGCTGAACGAGCTAAATGCAAACTGTGTAACAATGAATATTCAAGGAAAGGCAGAACTACAACTTCTTCAAATTGTTTTTTTCTAATATTCATATTCGCAAAACATTCGCAGAGATTTTGCGAATGCGAATGTGAATATTCAAAAATATGCGAATATTCGCGAATGCGAATATTCGTTACATCACTAGTATATATAGTATGTATATTTGTGTAGGTATAGGTTATTTATTTGTTTATAATCTTTATATGTTTAAGAAAATATGTACATTGCTTTATTTTATCATGTTGGCATACTGCAACTTCCTCTGCGTTTAGTTATCCTTTACCGCAAACGTTGTCTGGAAGAGATCGCTTAAAGCGATAAGGCCGCCTTTGCCCACATTATGTTATTGTTTCCTTATTTTTGTATTCTTTTGTGTGTATGCAATAAAGAATTTATCTATTTATCTATATATTATCGTCCGTAAACCGGCAATCATATTTTTTATTGCAGGCCAATAACGCCAGTTTCAATAAAATCAAACACCTAGTTGGCTACCAGTTTGACATATAATTAAAAATTTAAAAACACTTACACGCGCACGCGAAGCCACCTCGAGTGGGCTGACATTTTTGACGTAATGATGATGTCGTTATGATAACCAACTTTATCTCGAGTGGCACTCGAAACGTACCAATTCGGTGTGTCAACGATTTAACTGTTTATATCTGCCGAGACGAAAAACGTTGTTATTTTTCATAACGCCGCCATTCTTGTGTTAATTTTTAGAAAAGTTAATAAAATTGTGATAAACACTATCAACAAGAACATAATAGCTCGGCCTAGTTGCGCAGTGTTTTGTTTTTAACAATATTATGTTGAGATTGAGAGATGTAAAAATAACTAGTTCAATCTTATTCTTTTCTTCGCTTATTAAAAGCGGGTTAAGGTTTATGCTTTACTTTTATTATTAAATAATAAATCTTTTAATAAATAATAAATCTTTATTTGTTCTTAACAATTTTTGTACCAAAAAAAATTCAGTGATCGGGGTCCTCTGTTAAGCTAAAAAGCCTGTGTCAGTGTCACCGCTCTTCCAAAGTAGTTTATTTTTATTTTCTAATTAAACAATATTTTAGAATGTTCATGTAGCCGGCGTATGTGTGTGCGCGTGCGTGTTTGTGTGTGTGCGTGTGTATATGTGTGGGCGTGCATGTGTATGTGTGTTAAGATGTGAGCCTCATTTTAACTCATTTTAACTCTTTTTCACTTTTTAATAGCAAAAACAACAGACGTTGTCACGGTAATATTTTATCTATTAATATTACCGTGACGTTGTGTTACCCGTTAAAAAAAATCCTAAAACCAGACTGCAGCGAGATCCTGATGTCTATAGCAGGACGGGATGGATAAACTACGGCCTGCGGGCACACCGGTGACACTCTGTGTACGTGTGAGTTCCAGCGTCAGTGACCTTGAGCAGGAGCGTGTATGCGCTAGGGTTGAACTTGGAATTTAGACTTGTGCCAATGAATATTTATGCATAGTAAGTTATTAAATGTAAACTGATTCAAGGATACTGGGGTAAATAATGGAAGGATAGATTTGATTTTATAATCAATTTTTAATCTTTTAATGTAGGTACTATAACAAATTGCTAACTTTTATATATTTTCTCCTTTTTCGATTCGTTTTATAATTCTTATTATTATCTAAATAATAATTAGATTGCGTAGCGTAGTCAGTCTGTGCGTGCAATGCAGTGCCACGCTATTATTTTACTATTTCGCTACTGCCAAACCTTCGGTCGAGGCAGTCGGCGACTGCCCTCTCCACGCCCCGCGCGCCGCGCAACGCCCCCGCGCACCTCCAGACACCCACACATAGCCGCGGGCGATTTTACGAGCACACATGCTTAAGTGTCGCTTCTTTTCGCGTAGTGTATATATTCTGTGCTGCGGGTCAATTCCGTCTCCGGCTCGGCCCGCGCCCATCAAACAGAAATCACAGGTTCTAACCAAAAAGTACCTTCCATTTTTTCATATTGTGCTAACCGTTAAAAAAAATCTAAAAGCCCACTACAACGAGATCTAATGTCTATAGCAGGATGGGATGGATAAACTTCAACCTGCGGGTCAATTCCGTCTCAGGCTCGGCCCGCGAACATCAAAGGAAAATAAAAGTTTCTAACCATTTTTTTCATATCTTCTAATAAGGACCACCCCGCTGCTAAACCTGGTACCTACATATTTACTTCGCAGCAATCTCAGGGGGATGAGCTCGATGGCGCAGTTGGTTAGCGCGTTCGGCTGCGATCGTTGATGTTAAGCAACTTTCGCAGTGGTCGGTCATTGGATGGGTGACCAAAAATCTTCTATCTCGAGGTCCTCCGTGCTTCAGAAGGCATGTAAAGCCGTTGGTCCCGGCTGCATCTGCAGTCGTTAGCACCCGTCAATACGCACTGGGCCCGCGTGGTGGGTCGTGGCCCAATCTCCCTATTCCATCCATAAGGAAAGCCTGTGCTGTGCCCCAGCAGTGGGGACATTAATGATGATGATGATGATGATGATGAAACTCAGGGGCGTGTTTTTACCCTGCAGCTGAGCTGCACGGCTGTCTAAAGTCGAAACACAGTAAGGGACTTTTAATATATACAATATTTTTTTAAACTATAAATCTAAACCTCATTCTGAGTTTTGCAGATGGTATATAAGATTATTGCCTACATTTTTGTATTACATACTAAAAGTTTAAGTTAAAATATATATTTCGGGCCCAGTGCGGATTGGCGGGTGCTAACGACTGCAGATGCAGCCGGAACCGACGGCTTAACGTGCCTTCCGAAGTACGGAGGAACTCGAGATAGAAGATTTTTGGTCACCCATCCAATGACCGACCACTGCGGTAGTTGCTGGGGGCCATACTATTGTTTGCCACCCTTTTAACATACATAATATTAGTATTCAATAGGTAGCTACAGTTTAATGTCTTTGAGTGAATTCAAGGTTGGATGTATTGCGTTCGTTAGATATGCGACGGAATCTCGACTCCCACACGTTATCGTGCGGTGGCGTAATAAGAGTTATACGCGGCATCTCAAATATTTTTAATACCAAAACGGTTGGGCATTTTTATTCTAAACGATATCAATCTTTCCACTGTATACTCCCACGTCTCTGTGGGTTGATGATTGTGACTTTGTGACCATGACTGTATACAAATATTTTGTTCTTTACCGAGACACGCGACTTGTAGTATTTTGTATGCTCTTTTAGCGGAGGTCAATATGATCTCGAAGTGGTAGGTTTAAAAAATCTATGTTTTGACGAGGATCTCTATGACACAAGTGGTTAGCGTATTCACTCTGCGATCGTTGAAGTTAAGCATCTTTTGCAACGGCCGCTCATCAGGATAAGTGCTGAATAGGGGTGACGACGGGGTACAGTAAACGAAATTCTATTTAGTCCGTAGGTTAGATGATCAAAAATAATGGACACGTATTTTTTTCTTTGGGCAATCAACCAACAAATGACAAAGTTATAGCGCGTCAAAGTTTGGGAGTAGGGGCTGGTGACGTCACTTAAAGTGAAAATTGTACCAAAACGTGACGTCATGTGACTTTTCAAATCAGTATATCTCTGCAATGTTTATATTATGTGAAAAAAGAAAAAATACGTGCCCAACACTTTTTGATAATCTACCTGATAAACGAAGGAAAAAAAATTAGTCATCATCCCTATTGCTGATAATTAACAACTTCTTATAATTATTATATATATATGTATATTTTTTTGTTATTTACGGGATTGCTACTATGTAGGACCTACCAAAAAGACCTATGTAGTGTCCGATATCGGAAACTCGCTAAAACAAAGTACATAGGACAAACCCTTGAATTACAAAAAATAATACAATGCTAGTGAAAGTTTAAAACAATATAACTTCTTATTGTTTACTAGCGGCCCGCCCTCGCATCGCTTCGGTGTAGAGCTGAAGTGTAGACTACAGTTTTTGTTCTCAGGCTTGTATTATACACAATGATGACATTCATCTATGATTCTTCTTATACCTGCATGCAAAGTCTCAGCCCGATCGATTTAAAATTGACAAAGTTTCATATAAATTTTCATTCCCTATTTTATCCCCTTGGGGGTGGCATTGATCAAAATCCTTTCTTAGCGTATGCCTACGTCATAACATCTACCTGCATGCCAAATTTCAGCCCGATCCGTCCAGTAGTTTGGGCTGTGCGTTGATAGATCACTATGTCAGTCAGCAGTCACCTTTGAGATTTATATATATAGATAGATAGTCTAGGTTTGTTGTTTACGAGTAGGTAAACGTGGAAAGACACATTGTAGAAAACACGAA